CATCAATTACGGACGATTATATATATCGAAAAAAAAAAGAATATAATAGATTAACACGTTGAGAAGAGTGAAACGGACAAGTGCGGTCATATATGCAGACACATCAGCATGATGATTCATCGTCAAACAAACAATCGAATTTTATCAAGAAAAGATTTCTGTAATTTCTACAGTCGCTCTTTTTGCTAATAAAACCACTTCGGGTTTTCGCTATTTTACTTTTCGCAGTTTTTATTTTCGCTCATTTTTTTTCGCTATTATAATTTTCGCTCAATCGACACCATATCCTATGATGTCATGTATTTGCCATTTTGTTTTCTGCAGAAGAAAATAATTACTATTCTCACTTTAGTTGGTATAAGTGCCCATTATTAAATTCCGGAACGCTACAGCTTACAGACTGGCCGTTTTGAATTCACGTGATCTGGATAGGATAATTTCAAGATAGTTCTTTGTGAATCATTAATGAATATTTTGGCATATTTTTAACAAAAATCAGTTAAAAACTACTCTTACAAAAAAGATGTATGCAATTTTACTGGGTCAGTGTACGTGTTTACCGAGTTATTCATGTCGTGAAAATAGGAGGAATTTTGTAGATTTTCGAAAGAATCGATACAAGATCATGATTAATCATATATAGTAAAAGAAAACAACAATTAAATTGAATTTCATCTTAGTTATATTATGACAAGCGATATCATCGAAATCAATCATTAATTAGGGCAATAAATTCTTATGAAATTGCTGATTTTAGTTAAAAACTAGATGATATTCAAGTTTCACTCGTATACGAAATGCGAAGCGAAGTAAGACTACGGATCTTCACGAAAAATCTTCAATTCAGAAAAAACTTGAATACTGTTTATGTCGACAGGATGAAATTTATCACTGAGAAAACTCTATTATTATTTAGCGATACATTTTTAAGGGTCGGTTCCGATTAATCAATTAATTATCTCCATGATTCATTATCTTAGATCAGCTGTAATTGAATAGACCATAGTGGCTAACATATGTTCATGACATCACTTTAATTGTCTCGCAACAAATTTCTTTCATTTTTGTCCTTTTGGAATCATATTTGTGAGTGAGTGGAATATCAGATTAAAGAATAGAAAAAATATGTCAGAAGTTCGATCTCGATACTATCATCTCCCGTTTCAATGAGTTTTCTATGATTTTCGGTACTCGAGATCATCGAGTCACAAAATGATGAAAAAGATGCGTACGCCGAGAAAGCAAAAGCCAAAGCCAAAGCAAACACCCGACGGACTACATAAATGCGATGCGAAGCATAGCATTAATTGCAAAATGGTCAATTAATTAGAAAAATGTGAACATGTATCAAATCGAGAATGATTTGTTTTTCAAACAAACTTTTCAGCTCACTTACAGAACCTCAAGTTGTTAAACAGAATTTTTATCGTAGAGGATGTCGTTGCTATATATGTCATGAATAATTTTGAACAATAGTTTTCAATTACAGTTGCGCTAAAATAGAACAACTTCATATTCGTTGTTTTGCTGAAATTCAAAACATTTTTTTTTCATGTTGAATAATCTTTTTTTCCATATATTTTCTGATCAAATGTTTTTTTTAATTAGAGTGCTCCTGTCGGATCCAGTTGAAAACGAATTCGTCAATAGTTGGTGATAACATCAAACTAAATACAAAAACAAAAACAAAAACCATTTTTTTCATAGTTGTTAGCAGTTATATTAATGCTTTTTCAATCATCGCCTAATTAGTATTTACGTTTTATTGCTCTATTTTTGTTGTAAACTTCCGATATGAAGGCGATCACTCAACCAATGGCCCTGAAAACAACTAACGTTGGATATGTATATGTACACATGAATATATTTGTCTTTTCTATCTTCATTTATTTTTTTAATTTTAGCATCCTTTTCTTATAAGTGAATACATCTTGTATAAGTCATTTTTTGATTGTTTTTCTTATACTTCGTTGACGTAGAAGGGTGTGGGTGTTCCATTTTTACAATAAAATCATTAGTTTATCAATTAGAGACTGGAATAAAATTTGCAAAATATATCTATAAAATTCAGATTAAAGGATACAAACGATAACTGTAGATGAGTGTCTAAAGTATGATAATCCATTCAAAGTTCACCATCGATTGTAGAAATTGCAGAAACTATCAATAATTCATCGTGTGTTCTATCACGATGTTTTGGACATATATGATTATATATAGATATATGCGCAAGCATGGCACAAAGCGGAGAATGGAAAGTTAGCAGAAAGTTAAAGAATGATTCGAAATACGACACACTTTCCTAATTGAGTCTACAATACAACAACTGACGACACACAGATGCGCCAAACTTCATTTTGATGTACTGAATAAACAAAAATATTATCACACAAAAACTGTTCTTTCAATTAAAAAACATGATATCAATCATCGATATCGATCTCGACTCTACCTTTGATTGTGTGCTTTTAGTTTTTCTTTTACATACTTTTTTGCGAGCGTAGCCTGCTGAAAACATCAAACTCACCTTGCATAATAATGACTACGACTCTTATGTCTGACTCTATGTGATACTATCACCAAAATATTTTTTCACGGTAAAGCAATTTATTGAATTGCAATTAAAAACTATGCTTGAATACTCATTTTCAAGTGTGTGTTATAAATCTGACTATGAAAGGAAGAAGCAATAACTTTTAGCCATATAACAACATATATTTTCTTATTCAGAATCATTGATTGAAAACGATCGAGCAAAAAAGTACGAGTAATATCATTCTAACAAATATAATGTTAGCACAACGCAAAACTATCCAAAAAGCTGGGTAAACATTTAGTTCAATTCATAAATTTGTTCTGAAATTATTTCTAAACTAGTGATAGCAGTGTAATGGAAACTGGGGTTACATTTACTTTAGCTACTTTTTGTGTAGCTGTTGTTTTATTCCTCATCGCTACAACTGTTGTTCTCTCACTTATTCCAATTTATTTGTTACCAAAGACAGCGCAAAGAAGTACAGGTAAATCGTCATTCAATTATAGATTCATCTGTAAATACTAACTGATCGCATTTCGTGTTAGCATCAAAGAGAAGTAATGAGATCACGATGTATCTGAATACTGGCGTCGATATCAATTCTAGACGAAAAAGATATGATGTTTCACAATACAAAAGCGTCAACGAAGGTCTTGGCTACAAATTTGGATCGGATGGTGAAGCAATGGTTAACTCTCTAGTATGTTTTTATCGGGTTCTTTCCTATTCAGTTACTGAAAACTAGAAACTAGTTGACTAAAATACTGCTTGTTACTTTGATTTTATTATTGTCTAAGTAATAAGCTCTTTCTCTTCAATCTTATATATGCCGTGCCGAAGTAACGCTCTGTGCCGAAGTTACCGTGAATGATTTGACAAACATAAAACATTAAAAACTCAACGTAATTTTTTCGGTATCAATATTAATAACTATTTTTAATTTAATAGAGATATTTCTGTATATCTCTTTTGATTTTAGTTGAGTAAAAACCCCTTTTTTTTTAAAGTCAGACCTGTCAAGGGATATATAGCATTTTTGTGAATTTAGAGCGATTAGTGTACTCCTGGTGCCTTTTCAGTCGAATATTCAATTTGAAAACTAGTAGAGTAGATCAACGCAGTTTTTCACCCTCTACAAAATGATATGATGGTGAACTGTACAAGCAACTTCTATACCAGGTTATATAGAGCTAAAATGCTATAATATTATAGCATTTTAGCTCTATATAATCTGGTATAGAAGTTGCTTGTACAGTTCACCATCATATCATTTTGTAGAGGGTGAAAAACTGCGTTGATCTACTCTACTAGTTTTCAAATTGAATATTCGACTGAAAAGGCACCAGGAGTATACTAATCGCTCTAAATTCACAAAGATGCTATATATCCCTTGGCAAGTCTGACTTTAAAAAAAAGGTTTTTTTACTCAACTAAAATCAAAAGAGATATACAGAACTATCTCTATTAAATTAAAAATAGTTATTAATATTGATATGGAAAAAATTACGTTGAATTTTTAATGTTTTATGTTTATCAAATCATTCACGGTAACTTCGACAAAATTTGCTTGTCGAAGTTAAACTTCGATAAGTTGTATTGTCGAAGTTATAACTTCGGCACAGAGTGTAACTTCGGCACGACATGTACATTCCTCATATTTTCAACTCCTATAATTTGTAATATGTTTTATTTAATTATATATAAGTAAGAATAGGAATAGAATGTTCACTTAGTGTTGAACAATAAAGTGCTGCAATAGTCAATTAAAAATTTTCCCGGACAGAAATTAGGAATTCACATTCATTCATGCATTTCTTCTCAGTTTTCAACTGTCAACTACTGCACAACACATCTAAGTTTTCTAAAAAGTAAAATTGTTGCATCATCTTTCGATTTCTGTTATGTTATTCACTTATTTGAAGATTTGATCTGTCTATTTTGTTTTAGATCGAACCACTTTTACAACAAATTACTAGTAATGCCAACGGTGCAACCATATCAGAAGTTACAATCGCATCGTTAAATACTAGAAGAAAACGCCAGTGAGTTATAAATATGTTATTTAAAGTCGCCTTCTAGAAAAACATACATTTTTAGTACACTAACGAAACGCGCAAGTAGAGTAGCTATTTTAATCGTAAAATTTTACGTAAACTTTCAAGATCAATGCACGAGTAACTGTCAAAGTGATACGTGTGCTAAAATACAACGCACACTCCCAAGTAAAGTAACAAATGATAATGCGGTTCTCCGGAATATTCCCTTGGTTGATGGTAGGGGAAATTTCTATGGTGTCATCGCTGATATTTCGGTTCTTGAAGTTTTATATTTATCCTCTATATGTATGTTATCTTTATTTTACCTAAGTAGTTTTCGATATTTTTGCGCTTTATTTAGCTCCGGCAGTATCAAGCACGGCTGGAACAACGCGTGTGCCTCCGTTTTCTATCACTTTCACACAAGCGCCAACAACTACTACGGCTGGTAAACATAAGAGAAAAGAGATAGAATGAAATAGAATTCAGATGGTTCAAAATTTTGGAATAGACACTGGCAAACCTATTTTATGCCTATAGAGTTTCTTAGGAAGAAGTGTTTAACTGTAGCCCTGATAAAGATGTGAGTGGTGAGCAACGTATCTGTTTGGAGGCATATCTTGTATGATTAGAAACATGTCTTACCTTTCCTGGACATTTATAAAAAGTTATAGTATTGACGTTTCACAAGCAATCGGTTAACTTTCAGTCTGCTATTAAGACTAATTGACAGCGATGAAAACTATCTTTAACAGATTCACGATAGTTGTTCTTTATTCAATTTTTCTAGTTCTTATGAAATAACTGTTCGTTCATGCAAATACGCTAGAATCTTGATAAATGTATTCCACAAGCATCTTCAGAGAGCAATAGTATTAGAATATCCATGAGACAAACACTTTTTGGTCGTTATAATCGTAGTTCAACATGTGGTATCACAGTAGAGTGTAGATGATGGAAAAAAACTGCTTCAGATATACATTTCTGTAATATTATACTCACGGTTCCCTTCTGTACTAACTGAGTTTTTGAATAATCATTGAACGAAAACACAAATCGTGTATTTTCTCTTAAGCATGTATCAATACAGGTGAATATTATGAACCAATTACTGGTCATACGTGTCAAACATACATTGATTATGGTTTCTGTGATGGAACAAGCATTGTCTCCGGTTCTGAGATCAATGCATCTTTAGCGCAAGAAAACTGTTGTGCATGTGGTAAATACGAGTAAACTAGCATAAACGAGATCATTTTTTACTCCACTTTGTTTTCTTTTTTCAAAGGTAAAGGAATGACACAGTCGACTGGATAATCGATGCGGATTTAATCTTCTACATCATAATTGACGTTTTGATCATTTAATCACGAAAACAAACTCTTTATAAGACAATATTCTGCACATTGCACGCAATAAAAAAACTGAAACGAACAGATGTATTTATTATATCTTAAAAATTGACTGAGCTCAAAATGTTTCGACTGAAACAAATTGTGCAATGCTGTTGCAATAAATGCCGGAGTGAATCGAGTTTCAGCTTTTTTTTACAGAGGAAATCGTAAAACACCCCATACTGTTGCATCTTTTCTAGTATTTTTCCACACAGCTGTGTGGAGTTGACTTGGTTTAGCCTAAAATAAAACTTGATTTCCTACTGAATGAAATGATGCTGGTGGGATTATTGTGTAGGAATGCATATTTTTTTTTTCTAAATACTGCAACTTTGATCATTTGTTCAGCGTTATTTACAGAGGATGCCAGTATATGCGTATAACTTACAATGTGCTGCTGAGATATTCTCCTCGATTTCCATCTAGATATACAATACTAAGTACCATTATACGAGTATATATATATATTGGCACACTGACTTTCATGTTTTAAACAATTAAATAATCTCTAGCGAAGAATTTTCCCAGAGATTACCATTCTGTGAGATAAACACTCATAACAAAGAATCTAATTATCTTCGACTGGGTATTACGAGTGTGCATATCTCTAATGAAAGCTCTCAGGAAGTATCTAATTGATTTCAAGAATAAAAAGTAGAGCACAAAGGATATCCCTAGTAGAAAGCTGTGAAAACCAAGTTTATAAGTTTTGGAAAATATAATTTTGAAAATGCATTTAGACTGCACTCTATTTTTCGAGTATATGGAATTGAAGTACAATCTAGTAGTATTATGCTAATATTGTCAGTGAGAGATAACTGCAATAGCCATTGTGGTGAACATAGAGATTGTCGAATATGCCCGTCGGCATGATGGTGTGTTTTGTCATCTGCACATCTCTAGGCGTGTATTACATTAAGTTACATTCTGTTAGGGATGCACCAATTCCAATTCCAATTTCTGGCTTGGAATTTGTCGCAATTGATTTAGGATTGGCTCTAAATGAGTGTAGAATTAACTGGAATTGATGGTAGAATGGATTATTCTTGATTAGCAGGTACTTGAATTTGCCAGAAATAAAATAAAGAAAGTGGGACGCATAAGGCCTTAAATCCGAAAATTGAGATTTTTATCATAAAAGTTATAACCCGAGTCACAATTAATAACAAATTTGGAATCAGCGCAAAAACTGGCTCGAACAATGTATCTTTTAAATACTTTCAGCAACTGCTTATTTTTACCGAAAATTCACTTGGGATACCGTTTAGGGCTCAGTCAAAAAATGAAACTAATCAGAATGCAACTTGGACAGCAGTAATTACCTGTGGAGCATGCAAAGTGCTTAATAATATAGAAAAAAGCTGTTAGCGCAATCCCTGTGGGATTAAAATGTGAAACACGATGAAACTTCTTTTCTGGAATTCGACTATCACGGTCACTGATGATCTGCGGAGCTTCTCTGTTACAGTCTGTATTATGATGTATGAAGTCTCTAGAAACCATCATAGACCGTTACAGAGAAATTTAATAATTAATTAATTAACCGATTACCTGATTAATTAATTTCTCTGTAACGGTCTGTGGGGAGGGACGGGGATGAGCCCAAATTTCTACCCTATATACTTCAACAGTCCTTTCAGATCGCGTTTCACAAAAATCACATGCCTGAGCAGTAAAAGAAGTCATTTTTTATTATTGAACTGAAACCTGAGGAGTATCCCAAGTGAATTTTCGATAAAAATAAGCAGTTGCTGAAAGTATTTAAAAGATACATTGTTCGAGCCAGTTTTTGCGCTGATTCCAAATATGTTATTAATTGTGACTCGGGTTATAACTTTTATGATAAAAATCTCAATTTTCGGATTTAAGGCCTTATGCGTCCCACTTTCTTCATTTTATTTCTGGCAAATTCAAGTACCTGCTAATCAAGAATAATCCATTCTACCATCAATTCCAGTTAATTCTACACTCATTTAGAGCCAATTCTATACCGATTTCAGACCAATTCCGACCAATTTTAGGAATTGAATTGACTCGAATTGGAATTAGTGCACACATACATTCTGTTATATACGAAAGAGTGATTGCGCTTGAGCGGATAGAAACAAAGAGGGAACTGTCAAGCAATAGAACAATGAGAGTTCATCAACTCAATGCGCGAACAGAAGAATACAGCGAAGAGGATAATGTATATGAAGTGAGCCGTAACGGTAAAAATCGTTACAGTCATTATTACATTTGAGTAGCTAGTTATTAGATCATTTTTCATAGTTGATGTTTTCTCAATAGTCATATATTTTATTCTGGATAATCCAACTGTTTAAAAAATTTCTACCAGTTACCAATTTAATATACACCATATAGATCATTATCTATGATTGATTTTTATTCATTTCTGGTTTACTTTTGTATTCACTGGAGTATCGTATGAATTGTTTGGCTCATGTGAGAAACAAAAGACTGATTATTTCTTTCCCGTAATTTTAGGTTGTGGAACGTTGGGAACGAAATCTCTTAACAGTTCTATGTGTTGGCGTGCATTGGTTCCATAATGTAATTATTATTTATATTTCTCGGTATGAGAGGTCTCGGAAATCCTTTTAGTTTTAGAGACTAGTTTGCTAATATTCCTTCTCCATATTGTCAACGATTTCTTTCATCACTGAGAACTGTTATCGCTAATAGGTGACGCTTGTTGACGCTCAATTCCCAACCATAATTATCAGTTGTTAATTCTTGTGGAACTCTCTTTACTATCCTCATCGATCGATCTATTTATCATGCTTGATCGATTTTCCTCTCATGATTTTCATTTTTTTTCTTAGTTCTTCATCTTTATTGTTCGTTTTTTATGTATTAATAAAAACGACTTCATCACTATATGCCCAGTGAATTTGAATAAGCTGTTTATGCAGAATTTTCATTGTCTTCAGCCCGATAGTATTAAACTAAATCCATTATAATTTAGTCTGTGTTAAAAACAAAGAATAAAATATGTTTTCAAAATAAATTCAGGCTCCCAAATTATAAGAGTTTCAAACTGTTTTTGAATAAAATAACGTGGGAACCGACTTCGTTGATGATGAAAGTAGCACAACAAGAAGTTCAACAAATAAAAGTATCGGCGCACTAATATGAATTTATAAATACTTTGAAAATGCTACAATTAATTTTCTGACATTGAAGTACTCGCGATCAAATGTGACAAATCATGCTTGATAAGTTTTATTGAAATTATATATTATGAGAAAAGACAATATTTCGCTCAGTAGCTAAGCTTATAAGAAACTCCTGAATTCTTTTATTAGTAAAAACAAAGGAATATGCTTTAATTTTACTTTTCTTTTGAAAAACTGAAAATTCAATCGCTTAGCCATTTATTGCAGTAGAATATTGAAAATAGTTTCAAAGAAAAACATTTTCAGTCGAGTCCATTTTAAGACATTCTACCGGCAATAATGTGTAAATTTTAATCCTTTGTTTTTACAGATGCGCGATTCTGAATAAAATAGCTTGTATATAATTTGTTCTTATGAATAAATGATCGAGAAGTGAATAGTAATGTAGAGGATTAGATTTGCATCGACTATTCATTTGATTGTGTGGTTCCTGTGCCTATGGAAAAGAAAACAAAGAAGAGTAGAAAATTATCTCGAATCTATTCGTTTACACATATTTACCACGTGCACAACAGTTCGCTTTAGCTAGAGTTGCATTGAGTTGAGTAGATGAAATGATTCTTGTTCCATTACAAAAAACCGTAATCCGTATAGGTCAGGCATGTGTGACTAGGCACTAGTTCAAAGTATCCACGCTTAAAAAATCGAAAAAATACTCGATAATTTTTCATTCAATTATTATTCGAAAACGAAATTTCTACAAATATTTCTATGTCGACGTTAAACTGATACTTATTTATGCATTACATCAATAGTAAAGAAGGAAATTTTTGATATTGTGTTACAGAAATGTATATCTGGGTCAAATTCTTCTATCATCGGCACTCTACTGTGATACTGCATGTAGAACTAAGATTTACATCGAGCTGTAAATGCTTGTCTCATGAGCATCAAAACAGTATTGCTATTAATCTGTAAACGATGATTTTTATAGTTGCCGATCACTCTTGATATTTCGGTCAAAGGGAACCGATTCTATGTAAAGCTTTACTTCTTAATTCATAGAAGTTCGTTTAAAAAACAATGATATATTTCGTATAATGCAATATATATTTGTAAACAGATATATCAAAACCCACTCGTAGCTATCGTAAAGTGCCACTGAAATCTTTTCCCTGGAAAGATATTTAAGTGTTGAAAAAGCTTTTTAAATTTCAGAATCGTGTTCTAGATTCTCAATGCTTCAAATTATATTGCATTCTATCTCTTTTCTAGTCTACTTACAGATCGTTATAGTGAGCAATGTTATCCCAAGTGAGCAAAAAAATAGCGAGGACGGGCGACATGACTAGTCCAGAAAGTCTGCTATATCCGTCAAATCTAGTCTAATACGTCTTCAATATCTATTGTGACTAGTCCGTGTGTCCTTTTACTCGTCTGGACTGGTCCAAGCTACCCCAGAGCATCGTTCTGACTAGTCCGTTTGTCCTTTCAGCCGTCTAGACTGGTCCAAGATATTCCAGAGCATTATGTTCTGACTAGTCCGTATGTTCTTTCAGCCGCCTAGACTGGTCTGTTTATTCATTTACCCCCACCTGGACTAGCCCATAGCAGGGGAAAATATTGTAAAAAAGGGAGAAGAAAGTTAGATTACAACATTAGAGACACTTATAACACTATTAAAAATCAGACTGGCGTCTTGACGGCAATCCATAATACAATAAGCCTTATGTCTATGTATATATTCTAAAACGCAAATGGGTGTCTTCCGTATACCATGCGTGCAGAAATCACTTGATGGAAACTGATTCTCACTACCCGAAAATTCCTTCAATGGTAGCTAGAAGGACTGTTCCTAGGCTAATATAAACTGTTGTATGTTCGTAAAGATTATTCTATCTTTTAAGTACACTGTCAGTCCGAATTCTGAATTATCTAAATAAATATTAGAAGGAAAAAAATTGTTGAATAAATTGTCCTGGTGAATTGCTAAATTAATGACTAAAACAAGACAAAAACATGAGATACAATAACTACCGTTTTCAATTTATTTTATTCAATTTCATCTGAATAATTTTGGAATTTATAAAAAAATATTTTTTATTCATATGAAAAATTGAATAAAACTTAGAAAAAATTCGTATTTTAAAGCATCTTAGAATGACTAGAAATACTGATAAATTGATCTCTCGATCAAATGGCTCAATGGTCTGAACGATGGGTAAGTAATAGTTGGTATGTGTGTTCGAATCTAGTTGTAGTCATAAAATATTTCAGTTTAGACTAGTCAGGATCTCGTCATTATATAAGACCACAACTCGTCATGTAAAGCGTCATGGACGCTCTTACTTTTATTTAGAATCATATTTTTGACGGGCGTCAGGATGGTACAGCATGTCTAGACTTTTTTTCGAAAAAGATTACGCATGACAAATAGAATGACTCCAGTCACTTTCATAGTCCGAACGGGCACTATGGACTATACGAGCTTTCAGACTAGTCCTGTACTAGGAAATTTTGAGAAAAAAACTAGACTGGACGGCCGACTTGTCTAGAAAAAAGACTAGTCTTTTTACCAGTCTTTTGGTCATCTGGGTAATGATCTGGAAAGCGTTCATTAATATCAAGAGTCCATTCTTAGGCATTCCGTTACAGAACGTGAGAGAACGCGATTTCCTCAAAATGGAACTCAATCCTAATGTTTTCCAAATACAATGAAAAGAAAACCATTCTGGTACTGAATGGAACGGTTTAGAAGGCTTTCTAATCTGATAAAGAAAGATTTTTCAACTATATAGGAAGAAAACATTCCGTAACAGTATGGAACGTTGCAGAATGCATTCACTCTGATATTGAACGAGTTCTTTTCAGTAATGAACACATTCGTGAACTTATAGTACGTGCTCTTCATGAAAAAATATAGCTTTCCATATTCTGGTGAATGCGCTCCTTTCCGTTTTTTTCACGATTATTTTTCACTGGGTCGGCAATAAGAAACGACAACGAAATACAATCATACCTATTATAGATATAAAAAATCTAACCTTATCGTAAGAAAAATAAAACTTGACGGAGATAAAACGATAACCATTTTTTGCAGGAAAAATTTAGCAAAAAAATTTCGATTTGATATAAGCGCGAGAATAATTCGAGATAAAACTCTTGTTTAAATAAATCGAATAAACAATGTCAAGTAATAAAATTTTAAATGAACTTATTATTGGAAATAATTTAACAAAAACGAATAAACTATTCTATACATTAATTGTTCGATTACTAAACAGAACAAATAAAATTTTAAATGAAATATTTTTATATAAAATTCGAAGAGAAAATATTATTTTTTGTAAATATTTAATGATGAATAAATTAAATATAAAAAATAATAAAATAAAAATTGTTAATAAATGTCAAAAAGAATTAAAACTAATTCAATGGTTACAAAACCAAATTACTAGTGAAAACGTTTGTCAAGATTTATTACAAACAAACTCAAAATCATCCAATGATGATATATTAATTTTATATTGGCGTTCAATTTCATCGAGTAATCTTATAGAAAAATCTAACACGAAATTAGCGCCGCTAAATCATTTATTAATAAATAATCATTGTGAGTTTCCCAAATTAGAAAAATTATATCGAATGGATCATCGTCAATTAATCATTTGAATACATATTGAAATTTATACTCAAAATAAATATAGTCGCAATAAACACGAGGAATGTTTTATTGTTATTAGAAACTTCTCTATTTTCCAAGACATCTACAAACATTCGCATTTCAAGCAGAATCAAATAAATACTTTTTGTTTGACATATTTTCATATAGACTTATTTCTAGAGACATTAGTGTCGATATTCGAATTTTTAAAGCATTCAGGGCATATTGTTTTGAATATGATGCTAGATAAAGAGAAACCTCACAATCTCCGATGGGACTTTTACAACCACGCTTAATGGAAGGTCTCTAGCAAGATATTCCACATGCTTTGTTATTTCAACTGATTGTGCTCGAATCATTCAAGTATGACAATGGATAAGTCAATGATCTAAGCACGTAATAAAAAGCATATTTGTCGTTTTTCTCTCCACCTATACGAACTATCGAACCATGTGCAGTCGAACGACATTCTTTGTTGTATTGCTCTGCAATTAGCCTAGAATCATGGCTATCTCTTATGCAGCCTGCATATTCTCTTGTTCATTATCTTTCAACTAGCCAACAACAAGTTCAAACGAGGATGTGGGTGTGAATGGGTGTTCATGTAAAAATGACTAACTCATGCCCTCAGGATAGTAGGTCTGTTATTAGGTGACACTTTCTGTTTTTTTTTGCAAAATTTGCGTGAATATCAATGAAAGTATATGTGACAGTTGCCATACAATATGAGTTAGAAATGGGTAGTTTTTTGAATGGTTGTCATTTTCAAACTAAAGATTTTCCATGTTACAGCTATTTTGAAGAAAAATAAAATGGAAATCGCTAAGATCAGGCGTGTAAAAAAGTTGTCCATTGAATATCTATAATTTTGATAGTAGGTGTTTACCTCATAGAAGACTTGGTCAAGATCATGTCCATACGTCACAGAGCCTTATAAATTCAGATTTTATCCAGTTACTCTCATTTTTTAGCTTTGCTACGAGCGAATTATTTCAGCTAAACCATGGAAATAATTCCGAGTATTGTAAGAGAATTTCCTTTGGGAACTGCCATGAATACATCGATGACTAGATCTTCGAAAAAGAATTGATTATTGAAAAATCACCTATCAAAAACCATCAGCACTTTGTTAATTATCTACGAGGAGTCATGGAGTTGGTACTGATGATATTCAATGCGAAACATTCTCGATAAAAAGATATACTATCTTCATCACATGCTTGTTCTATAATAAAATCATTCTAATTATTTAGTAGCTCACAATGTGTATGTCAACAAATCCTAAATACCACTAATTCAGATCGAGCTCTGTGATGTTCCTAAAAGCACTGCTTGTATTTAGCAGGGTTACTAAATTAAAGTTAAAGAAATTAGAGAATTTAGAAGTGATTATAACTGCAGCTGTACGTGTGAATGCGTGTCTTTTAGCTTCTCTGACATCCACACCCTTTTACATAATGAAATGATGCCAATTAAATCAGTTGTTGCCACGCTTCTGCTGAATCCTTCCTTGAGAGTCTAGTATCGATTTATAAATTGAATTCAAATCCTGGATTCTGAGATTAGCTATCCATGGATGGAAGATGAAATAATAATGCTCAACATTTTGATATGCAGTATTTGTAATTTGGTGTCAGTACATGGAGCTTATTACTGAGCATTGCCATAATATGCTTTCATATTTCTATTACATTAAAGTCAAGCATAAGGGCATAGGAAATAGCTTGTGAAGCAATATACAAATAACTATTTTACAATAATTCATAATTTTTGTCTCTATTTTCATAATTACTAGAAGAAAATCATGCTTGCATTCCAGTTAGACGATTTTCAAAAAGTTTAATAGCTTTTAAGATACGATATCATAAAAGAAATCTCATTTTTTAATTGTACAAAAAAAGATGTGCTATTGATTGCTGAACATGTCTGGAAATAATTAAACTATACGTTGATACTAAAATTTATACATAAAAATATATCTTTTTCGATATAAATACATTTACATACATTTATATTTATATTATAGGTACAAGATTAATTTTAATTTCGAGGAATAAATAGAGCGGACTAAGAATATAAGAGACAAGTGCATTTTGGCTGGGCCTCATACACGAATAATATAATCGCTCATTTATGTCAAATATTTTAGGTACTGATAGTAGATGTCTAGCGTGTTGCTAGTGTCTGAGTCAAGTAGTTAGTTTTAAAAGCACAAGGATGTGTCTTGTATAATTAATTGATATGAAAAAAAGAATTTTATAATTTCTGTTGAGAATAATTTCGGAAAACGTCGTCCTATAAATACTAGTTTAGCCGATCTAATTTTTTATTTGAATATACATTTATATATACAATCATATTTCGCATGATACATATTAATCCATAAAGCAGATTTTTTCATTTTAATATGTCAGCATCATTTTTTTTAAATATTTAGATAAATATTTTTTATATAATAATTACTTATTTTAATTTTATAAGCAATAGATTAAAACTAAAGTTTTCATCTAGTTTCTACTAAATATGAAGGGATATGAACGTTTAAAATGAAAATTTACATGTTTTGATTCTAATATTTTGTTCAACTCTAGTAGTATTATCACTATACGTTAACTATCAGACAAGATAGTTTAATAGCATAAAAGCATAGATAGGCCAGTACGAACCTAGCCCGAAGCAGCGGCAAGTAAAAACCAGCTAACGAAATAAAAAAAACCACGTAAGTCAAATAGAATAGTAAAATGTATATCAAATTCGAAACAAAAAAATAAAGATGAACTCCAGGTAGCTAGGCAATTCCGGAGAAAATACTTTTTGCAGAATTGGTCGAGACAATTTTCGTTAGGTGTTGAAATTAGTTATCCAACATTTTTAAATGAGAACGGTATAGAACGGATTCCGAAAAGATGAAAAATTGTTTTTAAGAAAAAAAGTTTTTTCGAAAAGTGGAACGCGTTCTACACCATTTTTTTCTTCGATTATTTTTCACTGGGGAACGTAATGGAATCTTCATACGCTAGTTGCTTACTGTGCGTTGATCTCAGAGGTAGAAACAGCACTCGAAAGCAATCCACAAATGAAAATTTTCATAGTGCAGTACACAAAAATAATACCTCAACAAGTACTTAGAAACTTGTATTTTATGGAATAAATGTTTTAATAAATATAAATTCTCTCAACTGCGGAAAGGCTTCATTAAAACAAAATAATTCTGTGTTTGACTATCTTTGCGTGTGTCTATAAGAATCTGTACGTATGTAACAGCATAGTTTGGGACTAATGGTCTCATATGATGAATACTTTGAGTAATGCCTCTCATCAGATGTCTTTTTCATTCTATTATTCAGTTAATCAAATGACTTTGATCAAGTTAAGCATCCAAATTCATTGTGCACATTGATTATCGATATTTAGAACTAATACAAACTTCTAGGTGATAAATGCGAGTAAGCATTCTGCTATTTTGCTAACTAAAAATTCCCATATTTTGTTACAATGTGTTTGTGCCAGTAATGCATGGACATCCTTTATTGTTCACATATTTGTTGTCTATCTTTTTAATTACCCTTTGGAACTGTCGTGCAGACAGGACTATTACTTTCTCATCAGTGTTATAGGATGTGTTATTCTCAACGGATATTGTACAACCTACTACTATCATTAATATATCTGATCTTCTTCTAAATATTATCCGTATATCATTGCGCAATGTGATTACGTTTCTGAACGTAATTAATGTAAGGTGGAAATGTCTATCATATCCTTTTCTGTTCTTTCTTTTCTCTCTCTCTCTCTCTCTCGTGTGCACGTATATAAGGTGAGTACATTGTATTATACATCAGAACTGGGATGTAGACAGAACTGGAAAAGAACTAGAACATCGAAGAATGGAGTAGTGTTACTAAAAGCATGTATATACCGAGGATAGCGGTAACACTACCCTTCCAGTTTCCCTTTGCGATCACAAATAAATAAAATTAAAGCTGCAGCAGTAACGAATATAAACTATCCATTTATCATCAAACAAAATTCGTTACAGTGTTGAAGACTATATCTATTCAGAACCTCTTGAATACGCATATCATTTCAGTAGAGAGCTATAGCGACAATAAACTTGCAAGGCTTGTTCTATAATTTATATAGCTACATATTTAGTGATTAGATCAACTAAAATAATAAATGAGCATGTGAATGTGCGCGAAGATATAAGGATAAACGAATGTGCATTGGAATACCGTTGTAGGAGTATTTACAGATTAAAGTTTGGAAGTAATTGTATATTTTTGAGTAATCCCATGTAATAAAAACCGCATGAAAATCGGCGGTTAACCGCGGTTTTACCGGTCCGGTTACCGGCTCTCATTACCGCAGAACGGATAAATACCGCGGTTTACCGCAAAAATTGATCCGGTATTCGCAACATGGGATGCCACAGATCCGAAATTTTGGAGATGCCACAGCATCTCACGGTGGAGCCGCCGCATCTCTTGCGGGAGATGAGATCGCCTCCCGGTGGACATATGCTCACATGCTGAGAGATATTCATGCCCCGCATAAGATGCCGCATCTTCAGCAAGAGATCCAGCGTCTCTGGCTGGAGATGCCGCGGTATCTCCAATATTTAGGATATGTGGCACTACTGAAAGCAGTAAAAAGAAATGGATGATTGATGTATTAATTAATTTTATCATTAGATAGAATAGTATAATTGATGAGAGTTTATCGTGGACCACTATCATTCATAATCTTGTTTAAATTTGGGTGGCTCGGTTGGGTGCCACTGTGTTACACAGTTGTCTGTGGTGAAACAATCCTTTGACCCATTTGCTTAGTTCAGGAAGTAAGCTTAGACATACCCATGGAAGAAAAAGACAAACCACATTGATGTGATCAAGAAATATATCGGTTTGAATTTGAGAAAGGAATGTTGGATAGCCTAGTATTTGTACAACCCCTACGATTCGGCACGGTATCCGAGCGGTTATGTAAAGGCTTGAAATCGCAAGCAATTTTAGTGTCATGCGTCACTGTTGTCACCATATCCTTCCTTGTTGTAGACGGCGCCTGTGTCGAACTATTCGTACAATTAAGGCTACATTTGCCAATGCATTTACAACCACAGGGAAGCCATTGTTGAATGTCCAATCGAATGTACCAAGTATTTTGTCAAAAACAAGACAACAATCAGCAAAGTCACATAAATTACTAGTGTAATCCCACTTTGTACCGTCGCATGAATAAATTAAAATAGGAAAAAAATAAAATATTACAGGATAAATAAGACAAAGCATAAGTGGTTGATCATGAAAAACAAGACGCATCCATTAAATATGCACTTATTACATAGAGACCAAATTAAAAGAAAGTCTACCATGTACAGAAAGGTGGCGTAGCTATTGTGGCATAAGTATGATAATAGAAATTTATTAGAATTGGCAAAACACATGATAGTTGAATGAAATTAACCAAAAGTAAAATAAATAATGCTTTATTATGCGGAGCACGAAGATGATTTCGATACTTAGTAAAAAAGTTTTGTTCGCAGATACTTCAAAAGTTGTGTTATTTTATTCTTATGAATTTTTATGCGATGCTACAATTCATTCGGTAATTTGAATAGAAAAATATGGAATGAATATAATAATTATCTTTTTTTCTACTCTGTTTAAAATATTCTTTGGAAGTTTCTTTTTTATTCTTAGTCTTACTGTTCCTAAGTATCCTCACGCGTAGATTGCTTTCTATAATAATTTTCTTAATTGTGCAGTTCAGCCGGCTGACAATAAATGAGAAGAGTGCTAATTAAAACTTATCTTATCAGTGGTGATATTTTCTTTTTCGTTTCCTATATCATGAAGAGTAGAGATGAATTAATTGAAAAAAATTATTTTTCAAAAAAATTATAATGTGTGTCTTTACGAGAGACAATCCAATGGAGAGAGCTCTAACACGAGAAGTGACTAACTTAGGTCGAACCACTATATGAAAAAAATGTTCAAGTAAGAATCAGCTCACTGCACAGTTTTTAAAACAGCAAAAAGGACTTTGTATGTTATTTCATGGAAAATTTCTCCAATAAAGAGAGAAGAAAAGCTGATTAAAATATAATGTGACATGTTATGCGATTTTTTTTCCGTCTAACTCACCAACAGCAGTTCATTTATTTTTTACATAGATTGAGCAGGACATCTGTTCCATGGTGACATAAACGTGTCTGGTTAGGTACACCAGAAAATAATAAAAAATAAGAAGATAGTAGATCGAAAAAAAATGAAACCGCAGTTGATTGTTATAATCTATTACATATTCTTCCGTGAAAATCATCTTGTGGAATTTCTGATCGTTGTACTTAGGTCTGACCAAAAGTTTTGCAATTTAAAAAAAATTAAAGAAACAGAAAGTTCGAGTTTTATTTTATTAAATGTTGATGATAGTTACCATGATTATATATATCAAGTTCAATCTTTTCTAACAATTTTTTAAAAGCTTTCTTGAACTCTTTCGAAAAACAATTTAGGTATCTTGGATACCACATGAACTAATCATATTTCATTTATTTAATTAGTTAAACTGCGCTCAATAGAATTGGTTAGCCAAAAATTACATAGTATCAGGCCTGGTGAATATGATATTATATTGATTCACTCGTCTGCCATATAATTAATGACATTGGATAAATATGGAGTCAACGAGAATCGTCAAGCAATTTTGTACATTTTGGCCCTGATATCTCTGTTTGTTTCGATATTCCATTAACAAAAGGCTTCGGTCAATTTTCAATATGATACTTGTGACCTACAGCCTTGTCTTTATCTACACCGAGAACTATTTGATTTAAAGAATATACTAAACAAAGTTTTGGTTAAAATCTGTCTTCATGAACAATAGTCTTTGACGATTCATCTTCAATAAGCTAGCAAGCATCAGATGGCTTATGACTAACCTGTCTAAAATAAATCCATATCCCATCGCTAGTAGTGCTAGAACGCAAGTGCCATGATCGAACAAAATTTCACTGAACTTTTAAGCCAATGAAATATGATTGGTCCATGTGATATCCAAGATATCTAAACTTTTTTTGAAAGAGTTCAAAAACATTTTTAACAAACTGTTAGAAAGGATTCAACTTGGCATATATAATCATGGCAACTATCATCAACATTTAATAAAATAAAACTCGATCTTTCTCTTTTTCTTTAATTTTTTTTAAATTGCGGAAGTTTTGGTCAGACCTAAGTATTATTAATTTGTATCATGAATGTGTTAGTTTAAATTCACTTTGTGTAAGACGACAATATAATATTGACACCGAAAAGTTTATTTTTCTTGAAGAATTAATATGCTTTAGATAGGCTTTAATACGTAACTTTGCATAACTATGAAGTGGCAAAACATAGTTTTGGTCTTCTTTCTAACTAGCCTGAAGGATGTGGATGTAACTGTGATCGCAGCGCATATACGGCCACCGATATGTACATGAGTGTACCTATAGATTGGTTAACACCAAAGTAATATTCATACTTACTTATTGATTTCAAATCTCAAAGCTAATAAGACTTTACCGAACTCCTATACGTCGTACTATCTTCCTATGAAGTGAAAATTTTCGACTCCGAAGAACTCAAGCATCTTTTTTTTATATAATACGAACGAAGTCTAATATATTCTATCCTTGAGATGTTAACAGAGACATTGACAAATGTGGTGAGGGTGATGATCGGACCCAATCGACTCTGCTTGTCCTAGATCATCTAGAAATAATCATGATGGACTATGACCAATGCTGTAGGTTTTGAATGCAATTACTATTATTTTCCACAATTGTGCAAAGAATTCTGGTTGTTTAAAGTTTCAGTGGGTGTTACTATATGTAGTAGACAAAAGCTGTAGTTGAACTACTACCTCGATATTGAAATTATCGTTTTCTCCGAAAGTTTCTTGTTGATAGACAATCATTACATTCTTTGTTGAAAAATAAGAAACTCAAAATTTTTAAATTGAACAATTTTACTAGTCGCTCAGAGTTTGCAGTAACTCTGGCTGATTCTGTAACGGAAGAATCAACTTTTCCATAGCTGTTACCATGAAATTTTCTATGAAGATAAATCATGAGGAATATTTTCTTTTGATCTAGACGGAAAGCAATTCTGCGATCGGTACGAGATCTTGGCGGTATATTATATTTAACAAATAAGAATGTTTAGATTAACCATAAATACAAAAGAAAAACAATAGTTAAGTCTTTTTTTTTCTATCTAACATAATTGCATGTTTTATTTCCATACAATACAGCAAGCAGTCACTGGACTATCGGCATCCGTAATTAATTTTGTATCTTCACGTATTCCAAAACCAGCAAATAGACCGTGTATTATCCAACTGCCAATAATAGCACGATAACCATCAAAATTTGTCAACGAAAATAGTTCTTGATATATACAATTTCGATCAACAAATTTACCTTTGGTTTCATCAATAACAGATTCGCCATTAACATTGTATAATGTTACATTATGACCACATCGACCTACAATTGGCTTTTTAACAAAAGGTACTTGTTTTAAATCATCAGTTAATACATATTCACTACGTAAAAGATTCGGATGATTTGGATACAACGACCATAGAATAGGCAATATGGCTTTATTGCTTGGTATAACTTTCCACAATGGTTCAAAAACTTTGATATCATCATTTAAGAGTATTTGACAGAGAAATGGATGTTCACCATCGATTTTATTATTTAGAGTCTTTTCGTTTTCATATTTTGTATAGTTGCTAAAAATTGTTTCCCACATCCATAATTTCCATACTAATTCAACTTGATAACCTTCATTGTCAATTATTTTTGAATCTTGCCAATATAAATCATTCGTTAAAATACATATTTTTGAATCAATATTTGCGTCTTTCAATACATTTTGCATGTAATATGCAGTTAACAATTCTTCTTGGTCGGCATCGATTAAAATATGTACACGTTTAATTGAAGAGAATTTTTTCCAATTCTTAACTAAAATATGATGCAATTGAAAACCGGACATAAATGTACGTTCGAAATTAATTGTTTTTGCCCATTTTTCTTGTATTATTGCTGTTTCAAATAAAGCCGAAGCACTATCTGCATTGTATTCGAATACTTTGATTTCCTTCCCATTAAATGCTAAATCGAAACGACCCGACATCGTTAAATTTTTTTCGTTTAACCACGATTGACGGATTTTTGGCCAGAAAATTTCCGGAATGCAAAACTTTGCCAATAATTCATCGTTTTTTAATACGTAATCTGTGGCATTAAGAAACATTTCATGTAGTTCATTGGATACGCCACCTATATTTAATAGTAAATCTTGATTTGCTTTATAATAAGGTAACGTATTTGTATCAGTACGTATTAGATCACTTCCATATAAATCCATAAATAATTTTTCAGCTTTATCATTTTCATTCAACCATGAAAATGTTAAATGTGTATTTTTATTAGGTATCGTACAACGTTCGAACGTTCCCATGGAATTCGTTTGGTGATATTGTTTTAAAACTAAATCAAGTTTTGTTTCATCTAATGGTTCTAAATTTTCACTATCTTCAACTGTCATCCAGCCGGATACTTCATGTTGATCTTCAATATAATAGCAATTATTTTTAAATATCAATGGGATTTGGCGCGAATAATTATCCGACCAATTATAATATTCATAGTTTTGTTCAGCAACACGGATATAACCGGGTACTACGTCACATATAATAGCAATATGACCAAATGGTAATGCTGAACTTCGTGGATAGATGAGTAACGAATCACGTTTTGGTTTTTCTGATGAACCATTTAAATAGGGTGTTAGCGAAATTTTTCTCCCATCAGTAAGATGTTCAAGAGTCCGCAATTGATTCCATATGTCGGCAGCATGAAGTATATTTGGTAAAATACAACTTTTACACATTAAAAGCCATCGGCGTGCGAATTCAATACATTCCCATTTAAAGCCCAAAAATATTCCATGATAATAGTGACGTTCGAGGAACAAAACATGATCATCACCATTGGAATAAGCACAGACATTTGTGGATGTAACACCTTGTACGTGATTGAAAGGTACGACTTCACGTCTATTATGTAGCATGTTTATTTTTATTTCTAGAAAATACAATGGTTATCATTATCAAAGAGAGTAGAAGAAAACAAATTGAATAAATATTTAACAGACTTCAAAGTACTTATCTCTTACAGGGTATGAGACTTAAGATAGTTGAGAACAATATGTCTCTGTAGGCTTTCATTGTAGAAATTTTAGCTGGAAACTTGCTCTTTTGATTTTTTTTTCTCACGAATGTATTGCTACAAGCTGAGAATCAGATACAGCAACAATTTCTAGTCACAGAGAACCGGTGCATGAAGAAAAAAAAATGATCATATCAAACCGGGATTCACATCTGCTTACAAAAAAGATCAATTTCAACGTTCTATATTCACAGACCAGGACCTTTAATAAGTCACTAATACAACCGATTGTTTTGTCAATTAACCGCATTTTTATGTGAACCAGCTCCAAGCAAAAAAACACTCGGTCTTGAGAAGTTCATGATTTTGATCAACTTTCTGTTCCGTGATATTTAACATATGAATCTATTACGTCATTTAGCTTTAATTTGCATTATTTTCCAACCCAAAACTATTTAAAAATTTGTTTTTTTTAAAAGAATCATATTTCAGTATAAACACAAACAGTCGTCGGTGCAAAGGGCACAATAATAATTAATGAAAACAAGTGCACTATTTATTTTAAAGGACGAGAAAATAGTTACCTGCTACTTCCTCTCCATGCAGGCGAAAGTAAATACTTATTTAAAAAAAAGAAAAATGTGCGTCGATTGCCATGTTATACGTAGATAATATTTATATGATGACCCGAATGGTCTGCTTATCAAAAGAGTATATCAAGTTGAATGTGGTTTTCGATGAGTTTTGTCTACTCAAAGTCAATAAAAATTTAAATAGCGAAATTTCGATAAAGACAAAAACAAATAATTCAGTTTAAATATAAAATAAAAACAATTGTAAAAGCATTTTGGAATACAGCTGATATTTTTTTAACACAATCATAATTCCAAAGTGTTTTTATATTTATTCAATCGTTTATTTCTTTTTCATGAAAAAGAAATGAACATTTTTTTCATAATTAGGCCTAACTGTAGTTGATTTAGACCACCCATGAATTAAGCTAAACGTCGGGTATAATCATGTGTAAAGAAAAGCTTCGTTATATCGACCGCCGTGTATAAACAGTAAAAGAACAGAACAAACGACATTGGGAGACAACCAAAGAAAGAAGGTAGAAGTACCCAAGCATAAAAACATACGTTATTTAAAAAAATACTGAAAGCTTTTTCTATCGAAGTAGCAACGAATATATAAGTTTATGCTTACACTATAAGAAATTTTGTTGTTGCTGTTGTCGTAGTTTTTCCTTTTACTCAATATTTTTTTTCTTCGGATGAATTTTAAAAAAATTGTAATTTAATTATATATATATATATATATATATAATCCACAGCATGCACGAAAAAAGCATCAGCGATGATGACGATGCATTTTACTACTAAAAAAAAGAAAAGTTTGCGTGCATACCATTTAGCTGGGCTTAAGGATGACATCCACATATTCGCATAGTTTCCTTTTCTTTCCTCATAACAACAGAGAAAGAAAGAAAAGTTTAAAGAAATAAAATTGCTATGTCACTCTGACAGTGTCATATCTGTGGAACTTCGCCGATGAATCACTCTATTAAATGGAGAAAGAAATTCTTCTTCTTGTGTTGTTTATGAGAAATAATTCTTCTCTAAAGTAGCAGATAATCAAAATCACTCTCACAATGTGTCGCTAGAATACGGGAGTGATATGTCTTATTGAAGTTACTACTGTCGGCAAGAGAAATAAAAATAACTCGACAACAGCTCGAAACTTAGCGTAAAAATCATCAGCAAGACATGCGACAATTGTTTTATGGAAAGAGAATCAGGTAAGGTAGACGTCAACATAGAAACGAAACATTATTTTGAGTAGTTTTGGTAACTTTATGCGTACCGAACGCTGTTCTCTATTGAACTTTGGAGAAAAAGTGTTAAGCGAATATCATTCGAAAAACAGAATATTACCAATTTTCATGAAATCCTAAACTATTTACTTGACCTGCATGATTATCAAACATCGACAAAATAGTTCTTCAAAGTAGCAGTACTCACAGATTAAAGAACATAATACTCCATACACATCATTCGGTAAAGTATCATATGTTTATTAATTTTTATAAAACCTAATATCTGTTGGGACCTCTTGGCTTTTATACCCAATTCTAAATGTGATATTAATCTTTGATATTCAGACTGGTGACTAATTTTCATCACGCGTTGCTATTTGGCTTCCTCTCTCATATGATCGAACTATTCCAGAAGAAAAAAAGCCAGAGTTGCGCACTTTCTTTCAAATTCGATTTCTGCGTGATGTGAATCAAATTACCTGTATGCGTCAGTAGCATAATATATCACTAACTTCATCATGTAAGCAGATATGATGCGAAAGTGAAGCATATGTTACTCAACCAATAATCATTCAGATTATTCTTTCGTTGTGCTTCGATAGAAAAGACCATTCTGCTTTCTTACCTCATACTCATAAATAATGTGTTATGTCGGAAGAGAAAGGAAACACTTGAAAAAAATGACTTGGCAATTTTTTTTCTAAAGCAAAGTTGAAAAACTGCATAAAAACAACAATACCATTGATTATTCACGATCCAAAGTAGCAAATTTCAAGGTTTGATTTTTGATTCATTGGAAAAGCTTTTGGTTTTTTCAGAGTGAACTGCCGAAGAAGATATCAGTTTTAGTTATCCTAATCGTAAATATTTACCGTCTATATTACAAAGAAAATAGAAACCAAATTTGTTTTTTCTAGTCAAGTACATACGAAGGAGCATGTAAGAGGATGATGGATATTTTCTGTATTTTAGAGATTGAAGCAGATATCAATTTGCTATCCTATTAAAATTGACTAGGATTTATTTGAGCGATAATTTGTAAGCAATAAAAATACTTTATTTGGGTTGCTTTGGTGGAGGTTTGCAATATGAACGTGGGTGTGGGCCACGGTGTTGTGAAGAGATCGGCACCCACTAGAGACTGAAATCACATCAAACTGAACGGAACCCGAATCGGAAAATTTCGGTTCGTTTTGGTCTATGACGCTCACACCCTCCGATGATAGAAGGAAAGAAAAGTAATATTCAACAAAAGATGAATAATACTAAAACGGCATTCGTATACAAAATTGAGTCCATATTGCTCTTTTTCGATAAAATGTACTTGTAGCTTAAATAGACTGTTACTCATTCAGTGTTATTCATGCGAGATCTCATCACTGCTCAGTTATCAAATAAGTTACTAAGCATAAAATTGAGTGCGAAATTTCCTCCAATCGATTGTGACCTACATTGAATAGTGTCCTTAAACGATTTCATGAATCATTCATGACATGTGATAATAAAAAGTTAACCAATACTAGAAGGAATTAAGGCGCAGCTGTCTATGAAATAAGTCGTATTCTTCTACGACTGGCGTGAGTCTTATCTTCAGCGAATAGATTCTTCGAAAGAAAGTACCAATTATTTATTGTTCAAGAATAATTATTTCACATGGATTAATCTAATGAACACGAATTCGTGCGGAATTGGATTTTCATTTTCCTTCGGTACTGCGCTTGAAATTTTTAATTAGTTTTATTCCTATTAGAAATTTCAAATCGTTCGTTTTTCATCTTGCCGGAACTTCGTGTTCTGGATCTAGAGCACTCTCAAGTGTAATTATTGGCTGGAGGCGACTACAGGTGAAATGAAGACAAATAAAACATACAGATTGTCTCATTCATTATACGGCTAAATATTCTTGGCTGTTTGGTGAAAGCTACATCTTTCTAATAGTAAAACAATATCTGTTTGACTTTGTTATATCTATTTTTTACAATAAATACTTATCTTATCATCAAAAGACTACATGTAAGATAAATTAAATTAACTGTGTCAATTCAGCAAAGTATTGACATCGAATAGAAAACTAACCGAAACAAAGGTACTAACACATTTACGACACAAAAACACACCGGATGTACGAAGTGTTACATATAAAATAAGAAGAACGCGTGAATATCTTTTTTTTGTGATGAAAAACGACTGTCAATAAACAGAAAAACAAACACTTCTATTTCCATTCACGTAAAAATGACATATGAAATGTACGAAATTTCTCAACCATGTCTTTCATTTGATCAATCGGAGGTAAAATCGTTGTACGTAAATGATATGTGTCTGGCCGTTGTTTGAAACCGCTTCCTGGAACGACACATATTCCTGTTTTTTCTAACAATTGAAAGCAATAAAAAGCATCGGGAGCCATATTTTTTGATTTTGCATGTTCAATTGCTTTCTTAGGAATTTCAATGCGTGGAAAGGCATACATTGCGCTAGAAAAAAGAACATCGATTTTGCGGGAAAAAAGCAATTTCTATTATTTCGCACTAACCCCATAACAGTATTACATTGTACACCTTCGACTGAATTAAATAATCGACTGACAAGATCGGCTTTTTCTTTCAATCGATTGAAAACAGCTGAACGTTCTTGCTTATAAAGTTCATAGGAAGGCTCTCCTTCCTTCGGTGGATTGACAATGGCGCCCATAACAGCTTGGCCCCAAGCGGTAGAGCATAGACATGCTGATATAAGTTTATTAATTTGCACTTTTACATCTTTGTCAATATTAATTAATTCATAATAGCCACCCCGAGAACCACATCTAATAAGAAAACATAGATTGATTGTTTTCTATAGAGATTTTATTTGAATTCATTAAGTGAAAACTTACTCTCCATGCCAACCTTTCGATGCTGAATGAAATGAAGCTAAAATAAATTTGAAATAGAGAAAAACAAAAGCAAAAAAATGTTGCTATTTTTAATACCTAATTCCATTTGATTAAATGGAGCGCCGAGATCCATCAGTACTTTTTTAAATGAAAAAAATTTTGAGCCTGATAAATATACATTTTCTTGATAGACTTCATCAGCCATAACAAATAATTGATGTTTATGGGCTGAAATTTAAAAAAAAAGATTATTTATCTATGAAAATAAACATTGCAGAGTTGCCTACCGAAACGAAGTACATTTTCAATGTTTTCACGTGAAAGTACTTGACCTAACAGGAAAACAAATTTCGAATCCAACTAGAAAAAAATCTTCAGCGCTTACCCGTAGGATTTCCCGGGTTGATAATTACAATACCACGCGGTTCACATCGTTCTTTCGATTGATTTATTGAACGTTCAAGTTCATCGATATTCAACGCCCAATTATTGTCTTCATCAAGATAATATTCAATTGGATGAGCTCCATATTCCGATAAGGTAGCACTATACAATGGATATTGAGGAACAGGAATCATCTAAGAATCAAAAAATATAATAAATAATTTTCTCATCGTCGAACTTACGATTCCCGATGGCTTCTTTTGATTATTATTCATTAAAAGTTTGATAACAGTTTTGATGCCATCTGACGCTCCATTACAAAGATAAATATTGTTCGAATCTGATGGATAACCATCACGTTGTTGAATGTAATTTGCAATATCTTGACGTATAGTTATAATACCTTGACTTTCGGTATACGAACCAAGACTTTTTCCGCCACATACAGACAATAAACGCTCGACTTTTTCTTTTATATCTGATGGGAAATTCGGCGATTTCAACAATTCAGGATAAGTACAACCAGCTACGAACTAGAAATTTTGAAATGTTATTTTTTCTATTTCATACGAAATAAATTCGACTACGAACCTGTCGAATGTATGTCAATGGTACTTGATTGCCGCTTGCATGACAATCGCCAATATTAGCTCGAATAACACGGTCAAACGGAAATTTATGAGTACCCTAAAAAAAAAAGGAAACGGAACTTCTTTCATTGTCTATTCTTATCAGCAGTGATTCATATAGAAATAAACAAGTTCTCTGCTCCTTACCTTTTATGATTCTATGTATATTTAGATTTATCACCTGTTCGAAGAATTATCTAAGCTCAGAAAAGATGTACTTACTGTTGATAGTCGCTCTTTTGTTAGACTTAAAAGCAATTAAATGAAAAGATATTTTAATTACCTTCAATTGTTTTTCGATTTCTCCAGCGCGAATAACGATTGGACCTATTGTCACAAAACCGAAATCATTGAAATCTACGGTAGAAAAAGATTTGTTTACCTCGAACGGCATATTCAACTTCTTTGACAAGCGGATTGAGATTTTGTAAAGTTAAAGTTGAATGAGATTTTTGTTCTTTTCGTGAGATTAAACCAACGGCAGCCAAGATTCGAGGTGAACTTAGAGACAGTAATCGATTATTTATTCGTAGCATGTCTATTATTTTGATCTAACAATAAACGAATTTAGTTATACGGCAAAATAAAATAGGAGAAAAACAAATAAATAGAAAAAATATGTATCAGGACAAAAATGGGGTGTGTATGACGCATTTCATTAGTATGAGGATGTTCTCTTCTGATTGATCAATCATCGTGCACATAGAGGGCGCAATTAAATTTAGGTCTATCATGAGGATTGTTGTTTCCATAGTTGCAATAAAATTTATGGCTACTTTTCGATTAACAGATATTCAAGCGTGATCAGATAATCAATCTGGAAATACTTTGCTTTTTTTCACAATGTCAAAAGTTCTAAATGGAAAAATGCGAACAAGTCCAGCCCGGGAAGCTTACATCCGCCAAGTGCCTTATAATCGAGATAAAAAAAGAAATTCTTTTACAAGTTTACATTCATACGATGATAGCGATGTGGCTTATCGAAGTGCGCCGGAATATTTAAAACAATTAATGAATACATCAATGTCATCAAATGGACATTCAACAAGAACTTTAACACGAACACACAGTGCAAGCGACATAACATCAACGAGCAATTGTAAACAAAATAGTTGATATTATAGAGAATAATTAATTTAATATTTTTAGTAAATCGACCTGTTAGCGGAAATCCAAAATATAAAACACAAGAAGAATATTATGATGAAATTCAATATTTCAAAAAGGTTTGAGGAATTCGAGTCTCTTTAATTTATTTCTACTTTTTTTACATAGGAGTTAAAATTTACAAAAGATGATAATAATAATTTGCGAGCGAGAATTCGACGATTAGAAGAAGATAATGCACGTAAACGTAAAGAAATAGATAACTTTTATGAAACAAATAAGGTAGTATTTGTATCAATATCTTTAATAAAAAAAAAACTATTATGATATTTTTTCTCATCGAAGGACACTGATTTACGACGAACATCAGATGGTTCTACAAAATCGACTGCCGTACGTTAAGTTTTAGCTTTAACATATTTTTCAAAAAAAAATCTTTATGAATTTTAGAATGTTGTGATGAATTTGAAACAACGCTTATTTAAATTGGATTTACAATTAAAACAGAAAGAAGCTACAATTGAGTAAGTCGAAAAAAATTGATATGAAGCAAGAAAAACGATTTTCTTATTTTCTAGTGAAATGAAAACCGATCCACGATGGACAAAATCGACAGAAATAGAAATAATAAATCATGCTTTACTTAATGAAATTGAAAAGCTCAAATTAGAAAAACTAAACTTTATACAAAAGTAAGATACATGAGTTTTTCTCGTAGTTTATGTCATTATTAATCGAATTTGTTGTTTAAGTGATTATATGGCTTCTATTGATGAAGAAAAGAAAAATGCTGTACGCAAATTGGAAGCTGAAAAAAGAGAATTAAAAATAGAAAATGAAAGTCTAAAAAAAAAAGTTAGAGAATTGGAAAACCCGGGTAAGTCATTTTCAAGACGTCAGAGATAATTTCATGAATCAGTTGTTTTTTATTAGAACATGATGAACTATTATCAGCGCGTCGTCGTGTAAGTTTAAGATCTGCAAGAAATTCATTAGATCGGAAATCGTCTCCGAACTTTATTTTCGATTCAACAAAACTCATAGACTTAATTTTGTGAGAGTAGCAATTTTCTGATTTGATATCGGAGAGATGAATGTATATTTTATGTTACATATGCCACTTCGTTTGCACCAGGTAGATTTGACGGAATCTACAGAAAATTGTGAAACTTTTGTCTTGATAGTAAACTGTCAAATGCCAATGATGATCCACATAGAGAAATCGTCTTCAGCAAGATTCTACCCTGATAATATTCAAAATCGTTAAAAAGTCTATTGCAAAACCCGCTTTCATTATAGGATAGATATTAACAGAAACCCATCAGTACTCCGGACCCTGTTTTACGACTTTATTATTAATGTATCTGTCGTTTTTCTTTCGATAAATAGGATGATAGTCCCAATAAAGATTTACGTCGAAAAATTGAAGGCCTGAATGAAGCTTGCCGAGATTATCGAATGGAGCTCGAACACAAAAACGATGAACTTAAACAACTACGACATGAACGTGATCAATATCGTAAAAAATCCAGTCAGCTGACTGATGATCTAGAAGAATTACGAGCAGAACAAAATCGAAAAATGAAAACCAATGAAACGAATCGTTCATCGCCAATATCAAGTCGTGATGACGACAGAGGTAGAAAAGTTAATCAATCACCACGTTCACGTCACGATTCAAATCGGTCTGATGAATTTATTGTCAGGGATTCACAGTGAGTTAGAAACTTACTTTTACAAAGAAATCGACGTTGGACTTCTTTTTTTTTAAATCAAGTACACCTACACGGAAATCCAAAGAACACATTGGTTCACATTCACCATTGAGCTCAAGAAAAACAGCGATATCATCAACAGTACCGCCACAAAATTGGCGTCGTCATGGTTGGACTAGGTAAAAAAAGGAATTCTTATAAAAAATGTTTATTGTAATTCTTTGTTTCTATCAAGTTTTGACGAAGATCGCCTGAAACGTTTCCGTGAAAAACATGCAGCAACTATTATTCAACGAGGTTGGCGTGAACATAATAAATCATATAGAAGTTCGATTACATCTAAAACAAGACAAAACAATTTTGATAAAGTAAATCAACATTTCATACTGTTTAGCTATTTATTTATTTCTATTTCGGTTTTCAGCGCAACCCAAAGATTGGCGGAATGGTAGGTCTTTCTTATTCAAAAGTATTTCACATCTGTAGCGAACTAAAATCTTGTTTTATCATGAAAATGAGTTGTTAAGCAGAATCCTTCAATCTAAAATGGTGTCTATGATTTGCATTCTATCTAAATGAAAATATATTCTAGCCGATTATCACCAAATCACGCACTAATTAAGAGAAAAAAGTCTCATGCGATGACCCGTACGATTTGGCTACAAATTCCTCTCATCTCTGAACAATCTGCAAACAGATTCTTGTTTTTTCTGTATAGAAATCATCAGAGATCGTATCACCGCGAACCAGTCCACATAAATTCGGTTCGAATATTGATCATCTCGACAGTAGCTACAACAAAAATCGACCAACATCAGCTGGCACTTCGAATGAAGTAGGAAATTTTCTATGTGAATTTCAAATAATTAAAATCATTTGAATTTGAAGTCCGCTTTAAAAAGTGTGCAAGCAGCATTACGTGGATGTATTAAGCGACTTGACATGGGTAAACCTTCTCGTAGTCAGATTGATGATGATGACTTTATTCGGAAGCCATCAAAACAATTCGGACCACAATACGAAAGGTAAGAATTTCAATGGAAATTTGTATTTAATTTTCTGATGATTTTTTCAGTGACAGAAAACGAGAGAACTTTTTCAAAACTTCCATCACAGATAGTAATCGTCTTTACAATGGTAAAACAAATGTAAACAATTTTTTATCAGCATAAGTTTTATTCCTTTAGATAAAATTGGGTCGAATAGCCGTTTACCAATAAGCAATCGAGATTCAATATCGAATTTTGTAAGTCATATTCATACCTGCAGAAAATATTAGTCGTAGGATACATTGAAATCCAGCTCAATCTATCCAACGAAATATTTCCGATCAAAAACTTTGACTTATTTTCTACGATAATTTTATTTTCTAGCACCAATCCGCTTCACCGCCTCTTGATAGATATCGACCATTGTCACCGAATGTTAGTGGTGGAAGTGGTTCCAAACAGCCTATGCCCTATGATCGAAGTTCGCATTGTTATTCGATTGTGAAAAAATTCAAGAAATTGGCTTTATTTTATTTTTAGATAAATTTGGATTTGAAAATCGATCTATTCATGAATCGCCTTTGAAACCTGTAAGAACGCAAAAAAGTAGTTTTTATGTTTACAAATTTTTGTTTGTAGCAACGACCATCTTCGCCTTCGAACGATCATCGATCATCTCCACGTATGTCACCTGAAGATGCTCGACCATCATCTCGTCTAAGTAACACATCATTAAGAAAAAGTACAGCATATTCGAAACAACCACCGAAAAATGGCTATGATCATGACGACGACGATGATATTGAAGGTTTTTAATGAGTTTTATTTGTATAAATTTTCAAACCAAATCAAATACACAAAATAGACAGTCTATATCATTCAATGAATTCTTATTAAAATTTGTAACGCCAATCGGCTGAATAAGGATACGAGGCATAATAATCTAAAACAATAAAAAAGCATGGCCAGATAAATTTTTCTGTTTGTTTGTATTCTTCATTTTTGTTGATTTTACCTGATGCGTGAGCTGGCATGGGAAAATTTGTAGTGGGTGGTGGCGGCGGTGGTGGATAGGATGAACAAAATAGTTCATTCGATGATTCTAAAATAAATCGCTTTAGAAGAAAAAGGTAATAAAATAATAATTTAAAAATACGTGACGGTGTTGCTATTGCTGCTGCGCTTGTCATATCAAAATCATTTTTTATTAACGCTTGCGTTGAATTTGATGTTGGAATAAATTCATTTGAATTATAATTTAGATAATTATTCGATGTATATATTGCATTCCATTTAGCACGACGTTGATCAACATAAGCCTTTGAAGAAAAAAAATCATTCGTAGAATAGAAACGAAAAAAAAGAAGCATAACCCACACTGACATATCGCTGTTAATTAGGAGCGTAATCAGAAAAGAAATTCTTGGGCATTGGTCGAAATTATCGTGCGAGGAAGGACTCCCGCTTCTTACTGTTAAAGCTTTCGCTTGTATCTTCTTGCGATTTAAAATTAGGTAACCCTCGATTTTCTATAGCCGATAGAATTGTTTACTACATGTGTGGGATACATGATGGACATGGAAAAAAAAAGAATCACTTTGTTTTACTTACTTTAATAATTGATTCTGTAAGACCTGTCTGTTTAACAATAGATTCGATTTGTGCATGATCAGCCCATGGGTTATCTTTGAAAAATTTATCCAAAAATTCGATTTGTTCGATTGAAAAATGCTTTTGATCCAACAAATCTAAAGAAACTGAATTAAGTTCACATACGACTACCAAACAAGTGTCATTATTTCAATTCCGCGGAGAATTGAACAAACAAAAAAGAATTTTGACAGTAAGACTAATGGTATGTCTGAATAGACGATGACAAAAGGAAAAAAAAGAGAAATCTCATACCATTATGATGGTTTGTACGAGATGATGAACGTTGTTTTATAGTTGAATATTCATATTGAGAATGATTAAGCAAACTATGAATACTATAGACATTCGGTGACGATGATACACTTATAGGATGACTTCGGCTATCATCTTCAGTCGTTGTTGCTGTTGGCGACGAACTATTATTTGAGCCGCCACGATTTCGTACAATTCTAAGATACAAAAAAAAAGAGATTGTTTTTTTCTTGTTTTCTTTTCATTTCCATATTAATTTTATACTAATGAACTTTGACACATAGATCATCCTACTTCTTTTTAAGATTTAATTGAGTAGAAAATTTTTCGTTTAGACAAACATAATAGATAGCCTATTGGGATTATTAGATACGACAACATATGATCCTATCTATTCAATCGTAGCATTTTTGATTGGAAGATGAACAATTTAATTGAATGAACTGTACAACAGGAGAACTCAGATTGTTTTGTATCCTTTGATTGATGAATTCATGCATATAACGGAATAAGTTACTTCATTCTTTTTTTGAACATCAAGTCTCTATTCCCACCTGTTTCTTTAATGCATGATTATGAAGCGAGAAAAAGTGTCATTTCGAATCTTCAATCAAAAAAAAGAAAAACACGATCGTCGCGAATCATTAGTTACATGACAATCAAAATCGTACTATTGTTTGATGAGAAATTTATGTACTACGATAAAATTTCAATTAATCTTATGTGAATTTTTCTTTTATTTTTACCTATTTATTGAACTAACACTTGGAACTTTATCTGCATCACATATTCCATCGGCAATCAGACGTTCTCGAATTTCCCATGCAAACATTGTTGGAGCTTGGCTTTTATAATTATTTATAGCATCGACTACTTTAGGTGTTGCTACTTTTGGTTTACTTCCGCCGATAATTCCCGGACGAATTGAACCTGTTTCATGATATCTAAAAACGAAGAGCACAATTAAAATCTAATTTTGTTTTCTTCTCTAGAAACCTTTTTACCTTCCTAGAATTTTACTTACACAACCATGTGATACTCGTAATTGACGACTGATATCACATGGGCGTACACCTTGCTTAGCTAAATCGACGATCGATTGACGAACAGAATCTGGCAAAGGTCGTCCATTAACAAATACTCCGCCAAGTTGATTAATCCCTCCATGCCCTATACATATGGATAAAAAAAATGACTCTCATGATTCATTGGAGCATAAAGAGATACAAAAAAAAATGAAGAAAATACCAAGTACCTACCGAATTTGGAATATCTGTATTGAGCTGCAACGAATTGGTTGAACGGAAACATGGGTTTGCACAGTAACAAGACTCTTGTTCACAAGCGAGAGATAGTCTTGAAAAAGCAATGAAGGGAAGAGAGATTGCAATAGAGCGTTACTCTGTTATATGTATGATAGATTGAATATTTCTCAAGCGCGTACACTGTGTCGAATGAAGAGAAAACCAATGACTCGTTTCTTCTTACTCCTGCTGTTCCAGAGAAAAAAAAGAGAGAGAGAGAGAGAGAGAGACAGAAAAAGAAGAAGACTTGATTAAATGCGACGACAATGATTATTGTAGCGAATCGATATGCATCAGTAGTAGTTGAGAGAGAGAAGAAGAAAAAAAGAGCACAGGCTCGTTTTCTCTGTCTCTCTCGTTTTTGCTCTCAAAGGAATTGAATATAAACTAACTTTGTTGTTCTTCGTTTAATAGATTAACTGACGACTTCCGCCTACTTTAAAATCAGAAAAAGAAAATTTAATTGTAGTTTTTAACCAATCAAAATTTAACATAGTCGCTTCAGCCAATCCGGTTGAAATTAAACTTAATTTTCAAGTTTATTATCTAATTTTGAGAGCTCGTTAATAATGTAACATCATTTAGTATGAATGGAAAAGAAGATGTTCATTGTCGACGATTGCACATTGACACCGGTCTCTCTCTCTCTCTCTCTGTTAATCTTTGTTGCCATTGTCCCGTGGGAACAACTTGTTGCGAGACATTTTAACACTTGTCAGAAATAGAAAAAAAAATGGAAATATCAAATATTTACAACAGCAAATCATTCAACTCAATTTTCTTTTAGAATTCTCTTCTATTTGATTGATTTTGATCCTACACATGCATTTAATTAAAAACAATGCTCGTTATTTTTCAGAATACTAATTCAAATAAAAGTTGTTCGATATGCTTCCATGAGTTTTTTTTCTCTCTTCACTACTCTGCATCTGTGCAATTTTTTTTTGTCTATAATGGAATTAAAAAAAGCAGACAATATGCGCGAAATCATTACAGTGAATATGAACAAAGAGATGAAAGATGTTTTATCAAAGCACAGGAGAGTAGATAATCGTATTAGTTGATTCATTTTTACGAAAAAACAAAACAAATCATAAGTTTTAGTTCAGAACGCTGAAGCATAAAATAAAGTAACAGCAAAAGGACACTTTTTGTTACTTCTATTACAGTCGACTGTGAACTAAAAAATGATTCCACAACAGAGTCGCTTTTCTTATCACTTAATTTATTTTATAGGATTCATTAGTAATGAAGAGAACCAAGAGAATAACACAATTCTCAGCCATTTAAAAAAAAAAAGTTTCGTTTTTCGAAGAACTGGTAACACCATTCACTAGACAACACTTCACTTCAACAAACTGTTGATGTGATATATCTTATTAGGGTAGAATTAAAAAAGATTAGCACCTACCCATAAAGTTCGATGCTAAAAGTTAACGTATTTACCATCAAAATATAGAGTATTTTATATTTTATCTTTCAGAAGGCTAAGGCTTGGCGAATCGTGTGTTGAACAGTTGGACTTGCTCAGCGAAAGGCTTATTCGTGTGTCTCCGAATGTAAAATTTATTTCTGAACAGAATCTCACAAAAATTGTTATTAAAACTGTTCTGACCAGCATTGAGTAGATGTTAATCTTTTCATTTCTGTACCGGTAGGAAAAACGAAATCCTCTCGTTATTTCAATTAGTCCGAGAAAAATTCCGTATTTCAAATAATTATTTCGTCGTGACGAATTTTGGTATTATTTCAAACAAATAGTTTTTCTTAACCTGTCTCTTTTTGTTTTGAAGAATACATCTTTTTTATTTAAGAAAAGAAAAAAGAATGCAATTTAAATCGAAAAGAAAACGAAAGAGAGAAATATTGTTAACTAAATATAATAATAATAATAAATCAGTGTGTTTAAAAGACATGAGAAATGATCGTATAAATTTTTTTTTCTGAGTTACATAAATATGACCAACATAGACAACAAATTATAGTCAGGTCAAACGAGAGAGAAAATATATTTGACACAATCAGAAAGCCACGTAAAGAAAAATTCAACTAAATGATAGAAAATGAAAAACTACAATAATACTAGATGGCATTGTGAGATTAAAGAAAACGAACAAAAAAAGCAAATGCAAAAAAGAAAGCTTAGTTTTTTGTGTTGTTTAAAAAAAATATGTTCTATTCTAAGGCGATCGGAAGGAAATTCATTGTTAACGAATCATGATAGCATTTCCTTTTAAGGCTTAAATACGGCTACTTTTTTTTAAAAATGATTCACAACTATTCATCACACTGTTCTGAAAGAAACCGATAGTCTATTTATATATTTATATGTATATATAATCTTCTCTATAAAGTCTACAGATAATCAAAGGCACAGGAATCTAGTTTCAATAGCGTGGTCGTGATGAGCGTACACACGCACTCGGCGATTGAGAACCGAGAAGAGATGGCGATGACGATGATGCGGCTACAGCAGCTGCAGCTCGCATTGAACGTAAGGCAATCGATGGTGATAGGGTGCGTCGAGTTGGCGAACGGTATCGTACAGGTGCTTCAGTTAGATCTGTTAATCGCTTTGTTTCATGTTCCAACAGAACAGGATCAAGACAATATGGATCATGAGAAACTAATGCTATCGAATCGGCTATTTCACGACGAACAGCACTGCTTTCATCGTTGCTTGTTAGTGCGCGATTTAGCAGTGATTTACGACCACGCATTTCTTGATGAAGTTGCTCTTTAAGTGTTGTTATCTAATTGATAATATTTGATTTGTGATTGAAGAGAGAAAAAAATCCGTGAGACTTACCTGTTCTTCAAGCCCTCTAACACGAGCACGATGTTCTTTTTCTCGTCCTTCTAAAGCACGTTCAGCTGCGGATTGCGATGAACGAATACGGGCAGTTTCAACTTCAGTTTCACGGCGATTGCGTGTGTTAAAATCAATTAAACTATTAAGAAAAATAATTTTTACATCGCATATCCTGCACAATTTAATCTCTGAAGTTTATTAAAATTAACAAATGTAGTTCATAAATTACTGTTGATTTTGAGTCGGAATTATTTAGGCTACGGTCTTCAGTAGAGCCCATCGGGTCTTGGCCTGAAAATGTTACTGATTGACAGAAAAATTTGATCCATCTACTAATATTTTCTCAATTTATTGCTCGATTAGAAAAAAGTGTCTTGAGAGTTTTAAGAATATCTTTACATGCTGGACCCGATGGGCTCTAGCCCTACGACCCGGATTCTAGTCTGCAGAAAACTTCTTGAGGAATTTTGACATCAGGAACAATTCGAGTTCATAATGGACTAACTTACCGCTGTGCATGTTGATGTTCAGATTCGTTAAGAACAGATTGTAAATTTTCAACTTGTCTTTGTAGAGATAAGTTTTCTTCTTCGACTCGACGAAATTGTCTATCGATTTCAGCGCGATCCCATGAACGAACAATATCTTCTGTAACAAGACGGTCTCGTTCAACCTTTAGTTTTTTGTTTTTAATATGAAAAATAAAATAATATTTCATTCTGTTTTCAATCATCGAACAATCAACAGACCTTATCTAATGTTTTCTTCAAAACATTTTTATCTTTTTCTAAACGTAATTTTGATCGTTCAACATCACGTTTTTCAACATCAAGGTTGCCTAATTGTCGTTGAAGGTGACTACTTTTTTCCTGTAAAGCTTGTTTATCAGCGGTTAACATGGAAATCTTTTGAATTGCTTCTTGTTCGCTCTCTTGACGTTGAACAAGAAGCTGTACGAAAAAAAAAAAACGTACATTAAATATTATAAGTTTTTTCACTGTCTATTAAATATTTACTGTATTCGCATTTCGTAATTGATTTTCTAAATCATGACGTCTCATTTCCGAATCAGTAACTTCATTTTGAAGATGATGTACACGTTCAAGTAATTCATGATTTTGTTTTTTAAGGTCACCGATTTGTGATCTAAATAGAGAATAGAATTTTGTCTTCTTTTCGAAATTTATTTATATATATTTTACCTTGCTTGTTCAAGTTTTTCTTGTGCAACTCGTCTTTCAGATTCACTGCTTTGTAAAGCATTTTGTATGCTACCAAGTTTTTGCTGTAAATCAGCTGCTTGATAGTTTGATTGTGATAATGTTTGGTTGAGTGATTGTACACGCGTTTTCAAACTTGATTCACCTTCTTCAACTTTAGCTAATGTTAATGAAAGACGATCAACACTTAATTGTAATGATTGACATTTTTCTTCGCGTTCCTGTTTGAAAAGAAAATTATTAGAAGAAGAGAAAGTTGTTAGGTTTTTCTTACTTGAACTTGTCGAACTAATGCATCGCATCGTTCTTGATGCACTTGAATTTCAGTGTCCTTATCGGTCAAGATCATGTTCAAACGTTGAATTTCACCTTCTAAAGCTCGTTTATTCATTTCGAGCTCAGTTGCACGAACATCACTTTCGTCTAATGCTCGTTTCAATTGACGTTTATCATCGGATAGACGAGATTCGCTTGATTTAGAAATGCCCATTTTTTCCTATTAAAAGGGGAAAGAAAATGTTTTACGTCGAAAGTAAATTTTCAAAACATACAATAATTTGTTTCTTGTCATTTTCAAAAGCGGCTAATTGTCGTTCAAGTCCGCCGATTTGATCTAACATTGTTTTACGTTCGCGTTCACTTTTTCGAATGGTTTCCTCTTGTAATACCAAAGCACTTTGGGCTCCTTGCAAACGAGTATCAACGCCTTTCTTGTCTAAGAAAATCGAAACAACGATTGATTCAAGTGAAACAATATAACAAAACACAGATTTCCCTAAACATTCAAATTGAACTGATAATTCGTACCTTCTTCATAAGATACAAGTGTCTTTTGTAATTGACTAAATCGTTGTTCAGTTCTTGAAAGATTTTCTTCACATTCTTTCGTTGTTCGTCGAAGTTGGGTGACTTCCACTGTTCGAAAGAGAAAAATTTAATTCCTTGATTTTTGGTCAAACTGAAAAATTTCTTACCAACACAATCATCACGTTCACGTTCTGTTGTAATAAAGTTTTGAACAAATTCTCTTAATGCTGTACGAATTTGTTCGGGATCAATATCAGCAACGTCAACAAAAGTTGAACCTGGCGATTGTTCATCATCTAAACCTGGCGAATATGAACGATGATGATGTGGACTTCGCGATGTTCGACGTAGAATAGGCGATGCGCGATTTTCATTACTATCGAAACCTTTTGTTGGTGAAATTGGCCGACGACGAACATTCGGACTTGGTGAACGACTTCGAAGTCTTGAACCACTACTACTGCGTGGCCCATAGCCAATTGAACGACGTAAACTGGACACAATACTACCTAGTTTATATTCAGCATCACGTTTGGCTCCTTCGACACTGAATATAAAGAGAGTTCGCCGTGTTTTTTCTCTAAGGTAAATATTTGAAAAGGTTTTATTACCGTGCTAATTGTGTGTCAAGCGCAGCTGTTCGTCCTTCGGCACCTGATAATGCAATACGTAACTCTGAAATCATTTGATTGGCGCCATCGAGTGCTAATTCAACATTTCGGCGTTCGTCGATTGCTTTACGTTCTATAAAAATGACAAAACAAAGAATGACTCGAAAAATCATTCGACTAATTTATTTTACCGAGACGTCGAGCATCTTCAACAGCCAATTTAAAATCGCGTTCTTTCGATCGTTGTTCATCTTCTAATTCAACATAGTGTCGCTGAATATTGGCTAACTCTTTGCGTAAAACTTCTCGTGATGCTTCAGCTTCAACAAATCGTTGTTTCTGCCCGAATACTTCACGGCGCATTTCGTCTTCGCGCTGTTCATCTTGTCGGACACGATCCGCTAATTCTTCTACTTCTTTAGATTTCTTCTTGGTTTCACCGTCGAGCATTTTAACATGGCGACGTAGTTCTTGTAATTCACGTCGAGCTTCCAATCGAGAACGTTCAACATCACGTAAATTATGACGTAAATCATTGATATCTTTTTGATTTTGACATTTCTGTTCTTCGAGGACTAAAATATAGATTAATTTACAATGAGAATGGGAGAGATTAGGCATTAGAGTGTGTCGGATTCTACCCATCGAACTGTGCTAAAGAGAAGAAGAAAAAAATGAATTCTTTAAATATTTACCGATAATTCGTTGTTTAGCTTCGTCTAAGAATTGTTTCAAATCGATCTTTTCATTTTCAACACTCTTCAATTTCGCACGTAAATCATCACTTGAACGGAATGTTAAATCTTTATCGCGTGTTTCATCTTGTAAGTTACGTTTCAAATCTTGTATTTCTTTTCTTTGTATATTAATATTTTCTTCGAATTCTCTAATATGTCGATTGGCTTCAATTAAATCACGTTTCAATTGGTCACGATTATCTTCAGTTAACTTTAATTGTGTTTTGATTTCTGAATTTTCGTGACTTTGCAATTGAATTTTTTGACGTAATTGTTCAAGATCATCACTTAATGTTTTAACTTCACGATCACTGGCAACAGTAGTATCTTCAAATTTTAGATGAAGTTTTTTCAATTCATCTTGTAATGATACAATCACTTGTCGCTCTTGTTCGCGATGTAATGTTGAATCACGGCGAAGTTTATCATATTCCACTTGTAAACGTAATAGATCATCTTTTGTTATTGATAATTTTTCGGCTAAGGCATTACGTTCCGTTTGTGCGATTGAAAGAAGCTAGAAATATGATTTAAATTAATATTCAAGGATACCTCTTATGATGGTAAACTGCATAGAAGTTCTCTTGAAGGAACAATATGACACCGGATAAGCGATGAAGAGCAATTCAATCTGATGTTAAGTTTTACTCTTTCATTTCTGAGTATTCATATCGATTTACTTGAAAAGTAATTGGATACCGAACACTAGATACTATATATCGAAGTGAATAGGATACAACAACAAAATTACCGCATAGCATCAATGATCCGAGGTTAGTCGATAAGAGGCGCGTACTGAATTTCAAACATAGCAGATAGGAATATAGGGCAATGGAATTATGTTGTCATATCGTATCACAACTTCATTGGTTGATATTCCTCTACGAGATTGAGTCATGCAAACCGTTTCACATCGATGCGATTACATCCCGAAACTGTTTATAACGGTCGAAATAACTGTGAGCTAACAGCAGACTTTGCTCGACTTCTCATTTCTATGAGTGGTACAGTGGGATCGTTTAACACCAAATGTTTCTACGCTGAAAAACAAAACTTTTGATATAGACAGCCTAAAAAGGGTTTCATATATCAAAACTTTTATTTTGTCAGTATATGTTAAGAATGAAGATCCAAAGCAGAATCCTCCTATCTTACTTTTTGTTTTTCATTTTCAGCTTCAATTAATGCTTGATCACGTTCTGTAATAGCCGTCGCTAATTCGTAGTGTAAATCGTCCTTTTCTCTTTCGAATCGTTGTGATGAATCATCTTTTTCTTTTGTAAATTGTCGAATTGTTTCTTCTCGAGCCAATTCTAATTCGCGACGAAGTTTTTCGCGTTCACGAGTCATACGCTCAACATCCTCTTCATGAGCGCTACGATGCTGTTGAACAGTTGCTTCTTTTTCTTTTTCTAATTGTGCTAAACGTTGTTGTAGTTGATCACGTGTGCGAGCTGATTTCTCAATTTCAGCATTTAATTCAACATGAAGCCGTTGAATTTCTCCTTGAAGTTGTTCTTTACGTAATAGTAGTTCTTGATTTTCACCTTCGAGTTGTTGTCTTTTAACGTCAAGTTGACTGATTATCGTTTGAGCTTCATAAAGATTGGTTTCAAGAGCTTCTTTACTGCAAATAAAAATGAAATTTTATTAAGCAAAGACAACAAGAAGAGCCATTGACATACTCGGCCCGTAATGCGCTGATTGTCTAAAAGAAAAATAGAAAAAAAATGAGAAGTTATTTTTTTGAATGAAAAGTTTTTCAATTATTTACCGAGTTCAATGTTTGATTGTCACGCTCAGTACCGGTAAGGTCAACAACGAGATTGCCACGTTCTTTCGTTAATTCTTCTTTTTCCTTATTTAACCGTAGGTTATGTTCGCTAAGCCGTTCAATATCCTTCTTAGCAGCAATTAAATCTTCGGCTAAAGTATTTTTCAATCGAGTCATCTATAATAAAAAAAAAGAAGGCCTATGCATATATCGAGACGTTAGTATCGAGTCGATGTTTACCTGTTGAAATTGTTCGATAACTTCAGATTTATCTTTATTAATTATATTCAACTCTTGCTCGATTTGTTGACGGCTAACTTCAGTTAATTGAAGTCGATGAAGAATTGCTAAAAGAAGTCATTCTATTATTTTAGAGTTCGTACAACAAAAAAACATCTCTTCTGACTAGATAGTTATTCTGTATGTAAATCGATATGCATCAAAAGTAGTTTTTCTCGTAACGTTCAATGATAAACTTTAACTATCAAAACGAATGAGTCGGATGGATATGTACTCAAAATAAAGCCAGTGAAATTGTTTGTTCTAGCTATGATACTTGGTCGTTATTATGTTGAATTTCTACTTACTATCTCGTTCATTCTCAACATCGATTTTCTCCTGTTCGACTTTGACGAGTTCCTAAGAAATAAATCAAAGAAATTTGTTTTTAATTATTCAAAAAAGGTAATATACCTGGCGAAGTGATGATTTGTCTTGTTCAGCATCAGATTTTTCATGATGAATACAATTCTTTTCTTGCTCGACCTAAATATAGAATTTAATATAAAAATATAAATTTAAATTTACGTACCAAAAGAATGATTTTATTCAGTTCAATTTTGTCTTGAGCAAGTCCCTCGTTAAGTGATTGAATTTTACAGAGAAGATCTCGTAAAGCTCCACTTTCACTACGTTCTTTGCTAAGATCAAGTTCAATTTCAGCTCGATACGATTCTGAACGTGAGAGTGCATCAGCTAATGGAAATAAAAACACATAGATAAACATTTTTTTTTGTCTTTTGACACAACAATCTACGTACATAGAACGTGTTTTTCTTGTGTTAATACATCTCGTGATAGTTTTTCCTTATGATATTGTTCTCGTAATTCGTTCACATCGTTTTTCAATTGTGAAATTTTATTTTCAAGATTTTCAATAACTTTAATGCAACGTTCATTTTCTTTAACTTGTCGAATTCTGTCCTTCTGTAGATCTTCTTTCTCTTCTCCGACTATATCTCGTTGACGTTGTACTTCGGTATTGACTTGTTGTAAACGGTCAATATCAGCCCGTAATGTATCAATTTGAGAATTGAGTGTCTTAAAAAGAAATAAAAAATAAAAAGTTTTATTTGGCAAAAAAATGGCTTTTTGTCGACAGCTAAACGGTATGGTTTTAGCAAAAAACGATCGTATTGATCTGACAGTGGCGCCATCTATTGAGATTCTGAAGTAATTCTGTCATAGTTATTTAAACAATAGATTAAATTCTACACCTGACGACCGAACAGAAAAGCTTTGATAAAGAAATTCCAATATGATTTCAGAGCGAACGAACAGCTAGATGATAGTTAGAAGCAAATCTATCAGTACTTTTGATAAAATGTTGAAAATATTGAGCAATCATAAGAAAACATTTTTTTCAACTAGTTTTCGCTCTTGAAGAAGCCACCTGTTGTCATAACTAGACGTTATTAATACATGTTCTATTTCAGCTACGGGTTTACATTGTGTTTCCATTAGAAAAAAAAACAGAGTTAAAACTTACAAGGCGAATCTTTTCCATATTTGTACGTTCATGATGCGATGTTTCCAATGCATTCTTCGAACGATCACGTTCGTGCGCTGTATCATCAAATTGTCTTCGTAATTCATCAATTTGTAATTTATAACTTGTTGCTTGCTGTTCGAAATGACGACGATCAGCATCACATTGATTGAATTGGTCCTTTAATTGTTGAACTGTATCACGTGAACTTGATAATTTAGTTTGTAAATCATGAATCTTGAGAAAAAAAGAAAGAACATATTAAACAATAATAAAGTTTTATTCAAAAAAAAAAAATTTATTTACTTGAACTTGCCGTTTATTTAATGCAGCATGAACAGCACTAAATGTACTATCAGCAAATGATGGTGAAATATTTCGTGAACGCGGTAGCGACATTTGACGTTGAGGTGAAACAGATCGAGGCGAACGTAGGCTAAAAAAAGTATATATTGCACTTCAATTACAAGCAAGAGCTAACTAGATCTCGACATCAATATATATACATATATATATATATATCGGATTCAAGAGAAATACTATTGAAATTAAATGAGATCTTACATAAGAATGACTACAGTAAACATTGACAAAAGATGCCAAGTGGATCATAATGAATGGTCATTGTTTACATTTCATTTTATGTTATTCACTAGTTTAAATATGTACGTAACTTATGAACAGACGAACGAAATAAATCAAAAGGCTAAGCATAGTTGCTTGTTGAAATATCCTTAGACCTCTAATAGCATTCGAATTTAGTAAATTTTGTTTTACATAACGACCTTTCTAGCACTATTATTGACGAAGCATTTAGATAAACTTCAAAGTCATGAATTTCTAATTGATGAAAGAAAACAAGTAATTCATCATGTACCTGACATTTGTTTTTCTCTGCATAGTTTACACAATCCGATTCGATGATGAAAAGCAATTAGCAACCGTTCATGTAAGTACATCATCACTTCTCACATTCCAAGAATGCTCGAGATACTCCTCATCAGCAAACATCACCTACGTGCCAGTTTTTCTTTTCTTCTAATCTTAATGTATTCAACCGGTCGATCGTTGATTTCGAACGCGCAAGGTGCGCAGTCGAAAAAACAATGCTTTTGAAATCAATCAGAAGCAGCGCTGGCTTACTTTTCGTTCTTTTTGGATAAGCACATTCGGGAGACAAAGGTGGGGTTGCCTTCGGCACTTATCGACAAACATTCAGGTGCATAATTTTTCTAGATTTTGCTTACTAAAAAGAACGAAGCTGTTTCGTCACTACATAGCATAATCATAAACGTCCTTAAAGAATTCAATTCGTTCGAAATGATATTTTTTTTATCACATGTACATACACATTAAAAAGAATTTTATGCGTATATTTACATTGTAATAATTTTTATTAAAAAAAAAAAGCAGAGAAGAACTTTTATTTTCAATTGCATGTAAAACAAAATTAGTCGTGTCCGGTTTAAAACTGGTTTTAAAAAAATAAATACTTCGTTGTTTCTCTTGCTTTTAGCGTTTATTTTATTTTTAAATTAAGAAAAATAAATATTAGATGCTTCTGTACGAGACGGACATCAACTATAAAAGACAATGATTGCTATCTGAGAATTAGGAACAATAAAAAAGTAAAAAAAGAGTGAAAGAATGCTAGCTATTTTTTGTTTCACAAGTCAAATGTTATTTCAAGGTTAATACAAGTTGTTATTATATTTTTTTTAAGGGGGACAGAGAGACATGAAGCCTTGAAGAAAAGTCATTTTACAGCATCGCACTTTTTTTGAAACCCTTTTTTGCCTGTTTAAATAAGCTAAAAGAAGCCATTGATTACGTCTCTAAAAGTCTATATTTTTGTTGATGACAAGCGAAATACATGTGTTTCTATCAAATAAAACTCACTAATTAAGTTGTTGTTTTTTTTCGTAGTAAGCTTGTTCAAAAATTAAAACGTAATACGAAAATTCAAAGGAAACATACCGGCCATAAGCACGCTCGGGTGATTCGAATCGTTCGACACCTCGTATTGGTGATAGACGACGTGGTGATGTTCGTCCTGCATCTTCTACATCGAATGTATAATCTTCATCATTGAGAATAGCCTGGGCGATGTCCCGCAATCGTTGATGAACTCGGTCTCTGTCATCACTGACATCCCGCGTCGCACGCAAATCCACATTCGCCGAAGAATTTTCCTATAATAACGATATCAGAGTAGCTTGAGGTTTTATTTAGTATCCTTTTAATACATATATAAACATCAATCAATCGATTCAATAGGAACGAAGGGTCAAGAGAAAAAAGAAACAAGAGTTGCGGAATATGAATCGTTGAAAAAACAATAGACAATGGAAGCAAGTATTGCTTTAGTCATTTTCTTTTAAACACTTGACCAAGAATATTCATTGCGGATCATATATATATATATAGGCACACGCAAGCAAGAAGAATATAAAAGAGGTTTAATGATGACAATCATATTCATTTCTTCATACCTGGGCTCGTCGAAACATTACGATAATGGTCAGACAGGAACCGCAAACCAAATCAACAATGTTGATGAATGAATGAAAACGAAATGAGAGGAGGAGAAGAAGAAGAAGAAGAAGAAGAAGAATAAGAGAAGAGAATCGCTGATGGTGAAGGTGGTGGTACTTATGCACACCGCACGACGCTGTTGAAAAGAGCTTTTTTTCTCTTTTTCTCTCGATAAAATATTTTCAATAAAAAAGAAAAAAAAAGAAATGCCAAACAGCAACAGTAGCAGCGGCAGCATCTTATTTCATTTCTGACTTCTTTTGCTCCTAGCTACTGTCGGGGCTTCAGTGAAATCAAACAAGCAAGATTTTGTCAAAACAGAAATTTGAGCAAATTTTGTAAACAACTACTAATGAGCCTATTTGATATTTTAACAAAGATGCGCAGTTGTTAAGACTATTGTCGTCGTCTCATGTTCGATCTTAGCTAGTGTTCAAGGTAACACAAGTGGCGGCGTTGATAGTATTTTTCATCAATTACAACCGTCTACTGATGTGTTATCATTAATTTTGTTCGAACACGATTTCTACTCGTTACTATCTCTCTCAATTTCTAATAGGGCTGTCTCAGACATTTTTTCTTCTCTTTATCAATAATCATCAGAAAATATATTTATAGAAATTTGGCCTAGAAAAAAAGCCGTGCTATTTTGTTCTCGGGAATGGAATATTTATTGAGAGTCGAGAAACAAATAATAGATTTCAATAATAAATATGTAAATTAGGCTTCGACACTCACCAATCCAATCGCACTGCGATGCAGCATCTCGTCTACAGTAGTGTACCGCAAACAACAACTGATCGGCAACAACTAACAACAAAAGTAGTGGCGATGGTGGTAGTTGTTGTTTGATCTTTCTCTCCAGCTACTGACAGCAATGCCACTAGTGCAGTGTAAACAATTGTGGCCTCTACTGTGTAATTTATTAATGGGCTTCTTTTATCAAAATACATTTTCTTCTTTGTCAATTTCACTTTTTTTCCTCTCAATCATTCGTTGCCTTTTTTGCTTAAATTTATTGAAGCATATAGTTTTATGAAACTACGACAATGTCAATAAATAGGGAACGCGTAAGAGAGAAAACGAAGTATTTGATTGCCGACGCAATCAATCGCTATTGCTAGCAATCAATGTTGTTTTTGATTTGTAAATAGAAGGGAACGACAAGCAGAAAAACGAAACTTCTATTAAACAAAACGGCATTAGTTTAATCGTTACAAGTATCTGTTGAAAAACGAAGTACGGTTTCTTCCGTTTTTTGTAAAAGAAAAATCACAGATTGTACGAACATGTATGTTATTTTTTAGATGAGATAAAAAAAAAGAAGAGAAACGATGTCTATCGTGAATTGAAACATGGAGAGTTTGTTTTTCCAATGTTCGATATTGATTAAGTAGTTCTCTTTTTGTTCTCATGTCAGAATTCTTATTTAAAGGAAATCGTAGACAAGGTCGAACAAATAGCAATTGATGCTACGCATTATGACACATGTATTAGTAAATTTTTTCGAAGAATAAGAAACATTTTTTAGGTTTTCAAATTCAAATCATGAAATTTCAAAAGCTTCTCTTCAACTATAACTATAGACTAAAAAAAAGATTCTTTTTTCTTTCAAACTCCAATGACATTAGACTTACTGTCAGTTGATTGCCACGCGTAAGGTTTGAGATAGCACCGTCTTTTTCGTTCAATTGAATGCGCAATCGTTCGTTGATTTGTGATAACTCTTGGAGTCTAGATGAGATAGGACGGCGTCTTCTTTTTTGTAAATATTATTGAGGATACATACCGTTGTTGTAACTCTGTTATTTCTCGTGTTTTTTCTCGAATTTGACTGTCGCAATTAGCACGATCAGAACGCTCGCGTTCGGCAACAGCCTTGAAGAATAATGTGCTTTTATACGAAAGAATTTAACAAATAGTTACTTGTCCTTGAGTTTCGGCTGTTTTGACGGCAGTTAAAAATCCAAAACAGGCACTGGTTAACGATCGACCTGTTTGTGAAAGATCAGTTTTAACACGATTTAGATCGCGTTCAGTAGTGCCTTTGAGTTCAGAAAATTGTTTACGAAATGAAGCAATATCTCGCCATAGATCATAGATTAGATTATGTTCATTGTTATAATATCGATTGAATATCTATAGGAACGATATTTAGAAGACGAAGAAGAAAAAGAAAAACTAACGCGTGTTTCTTCTTTCCAATCTCTTGTTTTTGAGACGAATTCTTCGCGTACTTGTTGAAGTTCATTGTTAAGACGACGTACATCGCCCATTAACTGTTGATTCGCTAAATGAGCTTGGTCAAGTTGTTCTCGTAGAATGGCGTTCAATTGAGTGAGATTGGCCGATCTTTAATAGATTCAAAAGCAAAACAACTAACTTAGATTAAATCTAATTTTTGATGTGAAAACTTACTTTTGTTTTTCTTCTTCGAGTGAAATAACTGCAACATCTTTATCTTCATTCGTTTGATTTACACGGGATTCGACAAGCGACGATGATGAAACATTACTGGCTGCCTGTAGGAAATACAAAAAAAAATGACTTGCTGTTTTCTGTGGAAGTTTTCTATGCACTCACTAGAATTCGAGCTCGATCACTGTCAAGTTTTTGTTGTTCAGTTAGTAGTTCAAGTTCTGAACATCGTTTTTTGTATTGTAAGACCTTGCAAGAGAGAAAAGAAAGCGTCATTGATTTCTTTCGAATTATTCATTGAAATACTTTTTGCTGTAGCTTTTGTACGAGTTGCGCTTGTTTTAACTGTCCTTCTTGATAATTAGATAATTTACGTTTATAATTTTGATGTTCTTCTTCCAGCTTTCGTCTTAGATCAATGTTTTGTTGAACGAGTATCGATCGTTCTGGTTCGATACTACTAGCATCCGATGATACATCGATACCTTGTGCACGTAATGATTGTTCGAGCTATTCAAAAAGAAAACTAAGGTTTCAAACAATCAACGTGGAACTGCTTGAAGACTGTCCTCGTTTTTTTTTCAATGAAGAAAGTAATGTAAAAAACAATGCTATGATTTTATGTTTGAGAACCATTAAGATTAAAGTCTTTAGTAAAAGCTTTTAATATTATTGTTTCTCTTGCACAGTAGGTCTTCAGTAAGTAGTCTGAGAATGCTCATTGAAAAGAAAAAAGATCTTACTCGATCAGATAGGGCATTGTAACGTATACTAAGTTCATCCTTTTCTGCTCGCGTCAAATTTAATATTGTTTCGACGCGATTCAATTCATCATTTAGATATCGATTTTCTTCAGCAATTTGAGCCGGATTCGGTGTACTCATAATATTTCGAGTGGATGCTTGACTTAAAGCTATGAATGGTGATCGCGATCGTGCTAATGGTGGCGTGTGAATGCGGTTTATAAATAAATCATTCGTTGGCTCGTGCATTAAACCATTTCGATTGTCAATAGGATCATCGGTGTCCGATAGGAGTTCTTCAAAACGCTAAAAATAAAATCTCATTATTAATTCAAACGAATCATAATGAGAAAAAATAGCAAGCTGAAACGCAGTAATACGTACAATTGAGCTATTAAAAATATGTTTGTCTGCCATATTGTAGAAAATAATCAAAAATCAATAAAAGAGAGACAGACGTATTGTTTGAATTTAAATAATCGTTTTTACACAGTAAATAAATCGGCTCGTATTTGCCAATGTGAACGGATACTATTTCTATGCTATTTAATATGGCGATGTAATAGTAACCATAAATTTCTCAACTGCTGACAATGGTCGCAATGTTATTGAAGAAGAGAGGAATAAAAAAAAAGAAATGACTCGAAAAAAAACTTTTTCTTTTTCACTTTTTTTGTTTGTTTATAATCGTCTATTGGATCATGAAATGCTATGTGTCTTCGTCACCCTCTCAAAACTTTTACAAATGCTTCGATGTCATAAGAGGAATCTGAACAAATGTTTGATTGATTGATTGAAATAAATCTGAAGATGTTGAGAGATGAAAGACAGAATTTTTTATTTTCACATTTAGCAACAGGTATTTCAATTGAATAGAAACTCCTGTGGTTTGTGGTTACGGAAAATTAGTCATAGGAAAAATAAACCAATAACCACTTAGCAGAGAAAAAAAAAGCAAACATCCCTATGACTCTTTTTTAATTACCTCAACATTTTTCCGTATAGTGTACGATGAAATATTCATGTATGGTATTTATATAACCAAGTTGTATGGGGTTATTCACCTTTTCTTTTTGTGTGCAGATGTTCAAATGAGAGTATATAAAGCAAATTTACTTCCTTTCTTTTTCATGTTCCTATTCCTACAGCTGAAGTACAATCGATTAATACTAGTTAAAAGAACTCTCACATGTTTACCTAACACGCTTGTTAAATTACTTTAAATTTTCAGTCGCATGCCTTCTTACATATTGCTCTGTGCTTTCTTCTTTTTCAAGAGAATTTTTTTTTAAATATTTTCATTTCAACATTTTAAGATTTAATTTGGATGCAAAAAAAAATGAGCTAATCTCAATAGGGTCACATCCACTTCAAACTGATAGAATAACGAAAAGTTTATGTATGCTATTAACAAGTTACACTATCCAATGATTTTTACATAAAATATTCATCCGAAGTTTATTCGTCGTTCTTTTTTTGTTATTTCAAGGTTTCATAGTTTCTTCCATCGATTTCATTTTTTTTATTCTTTGTCCATTCGATGTTTCTTCAAACATGAAAGACAAACAACACATATTTAAATCAAATATGATCATTCGTTCGATCGATAATGTGTGGCTGCTTTACACTAAAAACTATGGTACTTTTTGCATATACTTAAGGAAAAGAAACTGAAATGTTGTATCCTTATTGTTTTTTCTTTGCAGCTGTAGCTCTTATGAGAAAGACAGCAATAGTAATAATAATAATAATAATCATGCTGTCTTGTTCATAAATAATAAAAATAAAAATTGAGTTAAAACAATTCAGTAAAGTGTTTTCTTCCGGAGAATGTCAGAATCGATCGTGAAAAAGATTTTAACCGGAAGACAACAAAAATAGGCCGAAAGAAATTGTCAGATATGTCATTGTGTATATATGCAAAAAATATTTCTAGCAGGGCTTCTCGTAAGATTAAATAGAATTGTATAGGTTTGATTCTTACATCAAGAACAACATTTCTTTCGATTTTTTTTTGTACTCACATTTATTTATATACTATTACCAGATATATGGATGCACAATGCACTCTTAATATATGATACAGATGATTGTTTGGCTAAGAGTTACCAACGTTGTCACAATCAATGTAGTTTTTGTAAAACAAAATCGAAGTAAATTTTTAAATTGAACAAATGCCTATAGGATTTCTTTTACCATTTACACTTATCGAATGACAACACTTAACCGCAGATTACTGGATGAAAAATGTAATCGCCATGAACGTTCGTTCAATTCGTTGCGTTGCTAAGTGATAGACGAACAGTGACGTTCAAAACTATGCATATAAAGTTGAAATTTTATGAATAATATTTTAGGAAAATGGCAATTCCATATTCTTGAAAAAAATCCTTTTCAAGTAAATGACTCTTCTTGAAACACCATAATTAATTCATTCATTTTATAGCAGCATCTAAAACGGCAAAGTCATATTAAACTTGATTTTGTTATTTATTCTTTGCAAAAACTGAAACATAAAAATTAATTAGAGTTCATTTAGAAGTTAAATTTAAAAAAATATTCATAAATCCCTGGTGTTTGAATAATAGTTAGCGCCATCTATATAGAACATTGGTTATTTTTCATCGAAATCTGTTCGAAATTCATTGCATATCATTTATAAATATGATTCAAATAAAAATATGAAACTTTTCATTATAAATTATGGTCTCGAAATTCTTTCGAAAAAACGAACCATTCAGTGCATTTTCTGTTCTCAGTCAGTGAAGTTAATTCATCGTCGGAATTGCTTAATAATTTCTTTTCATCGTTGTCCAGTTTATTCGATCCGTTGTTTTTTTTTAATAGATAGAAAACCATCATCTCAAAAAATTAACTGCAAAATGGCATCATCGCAGTATAACTTTAAGAAGATTATTACCATTCCTACAGCTCAAGTACGCTCTTTGACCTTTATAAAAATTAAATCGTTTTTAATTTAAATTTTAGGATTTTATTGACATTATCCTTTCGAAAACTCAACGAAAGACACCAACAGTCGTTCATAAACAATATAAAATTGCTCGTATTCGTAATTTTTATTTACGAAAAATAAAATTTACCCAACAAAGTTTTCATGATAAACTTCAAGCAATTCTTACTGAATTTCCTAAACTTGAGGTAAATGATCGGCTCGAGTTTTTATCATAAAATACAATTCTATTTTCCAACAGGAAGTTCACCCGTTCTATGCTGATCTCATGAACGTTTTATATGATAAAAATCATTATAAATTAGCACTTGGCCAACTGAATATTGCTAAAAATTTAATTGATAAGTAAGGAAAAGATTTTCCAAGAAACTATAGAAAATAATTTTCTCTTGTAAATATTAGCGTATCAAAAGATTATGCAAGAATGATGAAGTTCGCTGATTCACTCTATCGATGCAAATGTTTAAAACGAGCAGCTTTGGGAAGGTAAGTTCATCTGAAACTATTCTCTAAAAATACAAATTCAATTCGTTGTTTTTCTTCTCGCGTAGAATGGCAACAATAGTAAAACGCCAAGCACAAAGTTTACAATATCTTGAACAAGTTCGTCAACATTTATCACGTTTACCATCGATTGATCCAAATACGCGTACACTTCTAATTTGTGGTTATCCAAATGTTGGTAAATCAAGTTTTCTCAATAAAATAACACGTGCCGATGTTGAAGTACAACCGTATGCATTTACAACTAAATCACTTTATGTTGGTCATACGGATTATAAATATTTACGTTGGCAAGTTGTTGATACACCGGGTATTCTTGATCATTCATTAGGTAAGATTTTATCATTCGAGTAATTCGTGTATAGAGCTTCTTTGGTTTTTATAGAGGATCGAAATACTATTGAAATGCAAGCTATTACTGCATTGGCTCATCTTCGTGCAGCAATTCTTTATGTTATGGATATTTCGGAAACATGTGGTTATACACTTGAAGAACAAGTATGCCGTTTTACATTCTATAAACAAGTAGCAGCTTTCTAATTGATCTATTACTTTTAGCTCAATCTATTCAATAATATCAAAGTATTATTCACCAATAAACCATTAATCATTGCTCTCAATAAAATCGATATCAAACGACTCGATGAATTATCTCCAGAGAAACGAGCTGTTTTCGAACAATTCGCTAAAGACGATGTAAAAATCGTCGAAATGAGTACGTTTTCTGAAGAAGGTGTCATCGAAGTTCGAAACGAAGTAATTTATCTGAAACATTAATTTCACAGAGGAAAAAACTATTTTTTGTTTGTTAAAGGCTTGTGATCGTTTATTAGCACATCGTGTTGATATTAAACTGAAAAGTCGTAAAGTCAATGATGTTCTCAATCGTTTACACGTAACACAACCGCTAAAACGGGACGAACGTGTACGCGCGCCGTACATACCCGAAGGTGTTATTCAACGTTTAGAATCTATGCAAGTCAACAACGGTCAAGATCAACCAGCTAAAAAGAAGACCGAACGTGATCTAGAAGTCGAATTGGAAGAAGACTACCATTTAGATTTACGTAAAACATGGTGTTTGGAAAATAATGACGAACGTTACGATGTTATACCGGAAATTTATCGCAATAAAAATATTGCTGATTATATCGATCCAGAAATCATGGCTAAACTCGAAGAGCTAGAACACGAAGAAGAAGCACGTGATCAAGCCGGATTTTACGATTTGGATGAAAGTGAAGACGATGAAGAAACTACAGCCATAAGAAAGTTAGCAAAAAAAATTCGTTATAAACGCCAAGTTATCATTGGTGAATCTCGATCGAAAAAACAAGCTCGACGAACACCATCTGTGCCAAGACCGAAGAAACCCATTGTTCGAGAACATCTAGAAAGTACAATGAGCGAATTAGGCATTGACATGGACAATAAAGAAGATGTAAGAATTAGAAAAACAACCTAGGAGACTATTCGCACAAGTCCCTCTAATGAATTTTATTTTTGTTTTAGTCACACTATGTTGCTAAGATGCACGAAACACGTAGTCGTTCGTTGAGTAGACCAGCAACCAAACGTAAGCGTGAAGATTCAGAAGGAAATGTACGTAGTAGTTCGAAAGTACCTCGTGATAAATCTGGTGTACGCGATGTTAAAATGGCTACGAAAGCAAGAAAGATCAATAAACTTGGTCAACGTAAGATGAATTTGGATGCTAGACTTGGTGAATCCGACAGAAGAATATTCACTGAAAAACCCAAACATTTGTGTAAGTTATTAATTGTTTTTTTTTTCTAATTGAAATTCTATGTTGGCTCTCTTCTAGTTTCCGGCAAACGATCATCTGGCAAAACAGATCGACGATAGTAGATGTTTTCTATTGTTAATTGTTTTGTTTTTCGGAATAAATAAAGAAAAAAAAAATAATTTTTACGAACGAAAAAGACAACAGTTGTTCTCTTATGATCAATTCTTGTAGATTGTCAAAAACGAATGGCTACACAAAAATCAATCACATCTTTCTTTAGAAAAAAACGCGAAATATCGGATGTAGATGAAAACGAAGATGTTAAGGAGGTAAATATAATTATCAGCTCTGAATTTTCCGATGTCTGAAATTATACCGTTGATTGTTAGTAAAAAATTCACTCAATTACTTTGCAATCTATCCTTCCTGTATGAGTGAACACTAAAATTTGAAATTTTTTCGATAGCATAGGTGCAGAATTTTTTCACAGTGAATTGAAAATTCTTTTTTTTCTGTTTTCCAAGCCTGCAGCTACAACACCGAAGCGTATTAAAACAGCATCGAATACACCGGTAGCATCTCCTTTTCGAATTTCTCAACCGAATTCACCAATTGTACCAAAAACCGACGAAGAGAAACGTTTAGCCGAACGTGTTGAACACAATCGAGTCGTGGCAAAAATGAAACTTGAAGCTAAAACAACACGTGGACTTGTTGTTAATATGGGTGTATCGTGGTATAAAGCATTCGAAAAAGAATTTTCTAAAGAATATTTTCAAAAGGTATTTTTGATCTTAACAAGAAAAAAAATACCGTGTCGTTTTTTAATTAGTTAGCAAATTTTATTGCCGATGAACGAGAAAAAGGTGTTACTATTTATCCACCACCAAATCATGTTTTTACATTTACACGTATGTGTGAATTGAACGAAGTTAAAGTTGTTATTCTTGGACAAGATCCATATCATGGACCCAATCAAGCACATGGCCTATGTTTTTCAGTACGAAAAAATGTTCCACCACCGCCAAGGTTTGTAAAAATAAGCATATATTCTTATCTAATAGATATTCTACTTTTTGTTTTAGTCTTCAAAACATGTATAAAGAACTAAAAGCTGATATACCAGGTTTTGTTATGCCTACTCACGGAACTTTGTTGGGTTGGGCTAAGCAGGGCGTTCTATTACTCAATGCTTGTTTAACTGTTGAAAAAAGTAAAGCAAATTCACATAAAGGAAAAGGCTGGGAAAAGTTTACGGTAAAAACCTTCTGATTTCTTAGTTAATCTTATTTCTGTTTTCTAGGATGCTGTTGTTCAATATCTCAATGATCGTTCAGCTAATATTGTATTCTTACTTTGGGGTAGAGATGCTCAAAATAAAGGAGCTCGAATTAATAAAGTAAATTCGATATGTTAATGGATTTCAATAGAAATATCATTTCTCTTCTTTTTTTAAATATTTAGCAACGTCACCATGTTCTAGCAACTGCTCATCCATCGCCATTATCGGCTTATAATGGATTTATGGGTTGTAAGGTATTTGAAACATCATCTGTTTTTTTTTCTAATTTAAACTAAAATTTTCCTTTCTAGCATTTTTCGAAAGCTAATGCTTATCTTAAAGCTGCTGGTCTTCCTGAAATTGATTGGTCCAATTTACCATCCGAGGATGAATTTCCACTGGATTAAAAAAATCGAGATATTTTGATTATGTATTTTTTTGTATAATATTTTTTTTCTCTCTTGCGTTTTCGTACGTTCATCTAGTCTTTCTACTCAATGAAACTTATGTCAGATCTTATTTATCCTTTTTTTATTTTCATCTTAACTTATGTTCAATGTCTCTTGATTATTTTCAATAAAGAAAAGCTTATGTCTCACAGTAATCATTCCTTTGCAATCCAAGGGTGTGGGTGTCGGCGACCATTATAAGAGAGCACCCTCCTAGACTCACATCCATATCCTTCGAAAAATTCTTTTGTTATTATGTCTAAATTTTCAATACCTTACAATTTGAATATCTCGATCTAGGCGCGCCACGGCAGCTCATATTTTCAGTTTGGTAGTTTCTTGTTGAGGACTATCATTTGGCACCAAAATAGTTAAGGAAATCGACTGGCATGACAAGTCATTTTTCTATGTCAGACATACAAATGGTGTGGGTCATTACCAGGTAGAGAAAAATGTATTTCATTGTGAGACGAGCTACTTCGAATTTGTTTTGGTTAACCACAAGCAGTTTTCAAAATTTAATTCATAAGTTCAGACGACATTCGTTTTGTTATCTTGTGATTCCAATTTTATTTCTAATCGCCCGCTACTTTCACTTCACTTTTATTACCCAACATTATCTCTTCCGATGTTTTCGCATTTTTTATTTAAAAAACAAAGTAAAATCGCCCTGCTCAATATCAACACTGAATCCACCAATAAAATTATTCGTCTCACTCAAAATTCCATTCTCCTCACCAGCCAAAGCAGCATGATTCTGCATATTCAATTTAATCATGCTCTTTATTCTTTCCTCTTGTCTTTCACCCAATAAATTCATTCTACCATGTTGATGACCAACAGTGACCTTCTTGCCATTACCCGAATAAAACATCCAAGCACCCCATTTTTTCCATTTTTCAAATGCAGCTTCTTTAGTAGGTGCATCCCTCATGCTTTGCATGTACGCTGTTCCGAAAGTGTCTTCAATGAAATCTCCTCGTTTCAGCATTGGCATGGCAAAAATTTGGCGATAAGTTTCGACAGAACATAGATGTGGTCTATCAAACCAGTGTAAACAAGCTACTAAATCATTGCTCAAGGGGCGATCTGATCGAAGATTTCGAGCTTGAGAGAATATATGCTGATAGTAGCGATGTGTATGACATTTGCTGGTTTCGTAATTTAGTGACATGCGTGAGAGGAAAGCAATATATTGTACTTCATCTTCGGTTTGTAAAATTGACAAGAGATGAGATATTGGTGGATGAAATATAAACAGCCAATCGTGCTGAACAATCATAACATATGGTGTTTTCACGTAATCTAATGCAGCTTTGATACAGAAAGCAAATCCATTTCGTTTTTTCAATACGAGGAAGGTTACATCACGATTTAAGCTAGATGAGATCGAGCATGTCGGATCATCAGATGAACAAGCAACATCGCCGAATAGTTTGCGAACATTTTCAATATAAGCAGGATACCGATCCGCTAGGTCCTGCGTGACACATCCTTTCTTCAATCTACTACGCTTGTGTAAGGCAACAGTAAAATTATCAAAAGTAATGACAATAGGAACCTCTGATAATGAATCTGGTAATGAAGCAAGAGTATTCTTAATCAGACCAGGCGATGGAGCTGACGGAACAGGCGAAGTTGTTATGATTATTGTAAGTAAATTTGGCGAAATTGAACATTCGGGTAAAAAAGTCGACATTTATGGTAGGCCAAGACCGCACTTACTTTGTATTGAACTTACCAGAAATTGCATCAAAACATGATGCAATGGTCATCGATAAAGAAGTTCAAATTACAACTTTCATCAAGTGATGAAATTGTCAATTCTAAAACATACTAAAGTAGAAATTTTGTTATACTATGAATTAGATTCCATTATTGATGTACAAAAGAAAGGGTGAGCACTGGCTTTGCCTGCCCACATTCACAACCTGTTCTATTTTCACGAAAAATCATTCCGACCTTAATACATTTCGATCGAGCGTGAAAACTATCAGAATAGTTTAATCTCGGAGTAGAATCAAGAAACTCTAAGTATTTTGACCTTTTCAAGCAACATCTAAAATGGTTCAGGATAGAAATAAATCTAACTGGAGATGGCTTTAGAATAACCACGAAATATACTGAAGTTTTTCGAAGCAGCGTGAAGCATATTAAGTCGTAATTTGTTCCGCTTGTTTTAACGTCAGATACCTTTTCTCGTTGGAGGCTATGCGAATTTCTTGAAAAGATTGAAATGAATCATACAAATTGAGAGTAACCACGCAAAATAACATTGATTTTGTTTCTTCTGCAGGTTGCCATTGATGGCAAATTATTTTTTATTGTTTTATTGCTGTGATGATTATAAAGGCGGTGTTGAAGAAATTGAAAATAGTCATTGGTAGGGAGAGAAACGACATAAAGTTTTCGTCATTTTTTGATTCTTCAATCGGGTATTGATGACAGAGAACATAGGCGTTGGAATAAGTAGCTTTTACCCTTATTTACGATGGACGATATTTTAAGGCATGTTGACTCTTCTACAAAATAGGACACCAGTAGGTGGATGCTATTAGCAATATACTCATTTTTGTGCACAAAACAAAATAGACTAACGATTTGGAAGAAAAAAGAAAAATACCGATCGCCCAGGTCGAACATTCCGGCCACCGGATCCCGTAGGATACTCCAGGGAATATGTGGGAAAGTCATCATATCCTGCAGAAAAACACGAGAAATCGCTGGAACATGGAAGCAGTATTCCGGTCAATAATACGGCCGGACTTTTCCTACCAAGTTCCGGCGCTTTCCGGCAGGAATTGATCGGAAATCACCGGAAAGAATCCGAAAAATTTTTAACCGGAATACTACTTCCACAAAATCAACGGAACTACCCGTAACCGGCCGTTTCCAGGCCGGACTATTCGACCTGGGATTCCAATAGATATCTGTATGTTTTATAGCCCACTAAAATCTTTTTTTTTAATATGGTCACTCGATAGTAATGGCTTGGAAATTAGTGCCATCCTCCTACAATCTTCTTCTAAGCGTGGTTTCACTAATATTTATACCTTTCTTTGATAATCTAACTGTAACTTGGCCTGCAAATTCGATAGAATATTGAGCTATGATCGATTGAATCACTATTCCTTGTTTTCCCGTTGTACACTATTTACGCCCAGATTTTTCTTCAACTTCTACATCTCCGGTTATTTCATACCTTTCTAATCTGAAAAAAATGGTGTCATATGGAACTATTTATGGTTCTACCCAAGATACTGAACCTTTCAAGATTTCACTCGCTCATTAATAAACCATCGAAGGTTCTAGCTAGTTTAAAGAACCGTCTAAGATCTTCAATAGTTCCGGATGTTTGAAAAGATTCCGTCCTGCACCATTTTTTCAAAGATGCTTTTGGCTTGAAGCAAGATACTATATTTTCGGAACGTGATTTAATTAATATAAATCTCAAATAAGTTGCTGAGATCGAGTAATCTGAATTCATCATCATTTTTTCGATCAAAGCTCCCAATGATCAGAAATTGATTCCATCAAAAAATTGAGGGCTGTAAAATTAGACTTTGCATTTCAACTCCGATCTGAATTCTGATCGAAGCTTGGAGTCGGTTATCGATATCCAGGTATCCGAATCCGTCATAATTTTCTCGATGCCAGGGATGCGAAATTTGAATGATAGACTTGGGTAGTTGTGTGTGCAAAATCAATTCAATAATTAGTGGTATCTTTTCAAGTGTGATTGTTAAGTGTTAGATTAACGTAAAGTGCCACACCTAGACACGGGTGTGGGCGTAGATATCCTTCCCTCGCATACCCACACCACCACATGGTATGTTTCTTTTCTGAATTCTCCCACACGGACAGTCCATCCTGAAACTTTTGCATGTTTCTGGGTGCGTAACTTTTTATAGATGAAACGGAGACCCACCCTCAATTACAATGGTCAGCAATTATAATAAACTTCGTGTGAGGAAGTAAAAAACGTATATAAAATGTGCACGCTCGAAGCAAAAGGTAGATTTTTGTAATGCAGAAAAAAATGCTTCTTATGCTGACAGTTTGAAGAATTAATTACTGTTTTTCATTGGCAGACAGGAGAGAAGAAAGAAAATATTCCGAGATGGAAAATATTTGCTTATAATTGACTAAAATAAAATGCTGAAACAATGTCTCTCTTTTATGTTGAATTACATAGACACTGAGGATTTTTGAATCAATATGTGCGAGAATGCAAAATAATAAAAAAAATTCTTTTTACGTCACTGTATTCCATAGAAACAAGAAGTACGTAAATAATTATTTTTGCACTATCCACAGTTACTCCTTTTAAGGCTTCATATAAATCAATAGCACAAAAGAAAATTTCATCTAAGTTATTTTGCGTACTTTTATAAGATACGAAATGTCCACAAGTGGTAGCAAAAGTATTCAAGAGGTGCTAGATGAGTACTATATTGATGCAAAGGGTGGATTTGTCGTCGATGCTGCAAGAGCTCTAATTTCGGCGCTCATTAACAAACGTACCACCAATCAAAGCAAGGTCAAAAAAGCCTTCAATACTCTTTTGAAATACTATGATGAATATCCAAATATCATGAGTCCATTAGGACTCGGAATCGGCATTATATTTTTGATTGATTCAAATAATGATCGAAACGTCGTAAGAAGATTACAAGGAGAAATAATAGCCGCTTTTAAAAAGTATCCTCACACCTTGTGGGAACAGCGTCTGACCGAAATTCAAGTCGAAGCAAAAGAACTGAAAACTCGCCAATTGACCATGGGCACCCTCAAGTTCATCATGTCCATCTCAATTGGTTATCTTGCGTACGCAAGTACGGCAGGTATTTTGGCAAAGACTGCTTTGGCTGCAGGATCCACCGGATGTGGAATGGCTGGTGTGATAAACAGCGTCAACTACTACAATTTACATGAGCTCATCAAACGTTTAGAAAGAGATGACTATTTGAACTAAACTTTTTCTTCAAAATGTACTCGCTGGTATTCCTGCTTGTTTCTCTTCAAACATTATCACTTTTCGAATAATTAACATGCATTTCATTGCTTATAATAAGTGCCATCCCTAATAGCAAACTTAGGTTCTACGACAACCCTTGCTTCAGAGATACATGCAGAAAAATATGAGTAACGTCAATGAACAAGATTATTCTTACTCTTGAATTACATTCTTACCGTTGCTGGACCCCCATTGCCATCCTCTAGAAAATACCGTGTTACAGATCTCAACAGGTTACGCCAAGTAGGAAAACCGGCTTCACAGACAGATCAAAAGCATTCTGGTAACAAGATTCTTTCAAAAATATAAGACAGTGTGAGTGGAGGTGGATGAATAATATAGCACTCCCGTTTCCACAGTCAAATTCACAGTTACAGTCACAGCCATACACTTAAAAAAGAAAGGTCTTTTACACAACTTAAAAAGGATCTTATTCTCGGCACACGGTAAAATCCTTTCTTGGTTTAGTAAAAAAACGGTTTCGTACCAATCCCCTTTACAATAATTTAAGAAAAAAGTTTCGTATCAATGGTTTCGTACCGAACCTCTCAAAAACAATTAAAAAAAGCTTCGTACAAAACTATCTGTACTAAACCTACTTCCAACTGTTCACTCAGTCAAAAATTTCATTTAACCCTCTGGTGTTGTCCGTGATATACACGCTATTCGAATATTTCTGAAAACCCAATTATGGGATAGATCAAAGAAATCAAGAGTAAACGGAAATAGTCTATGTGGTAATTTTCCTTCATGATGGAGAAAATTACTGCATAGACTATTTTCACTTACTCTTGATTTCTTTGATCTATACCATACTTGGGTTTTCAGAAATATTAGAATAGCGTGCATATTACGGACGGTATCATAGAGTTAAAACCAAATCCACTGATGATTTCCATAATTGAAACAACCTATAATATATATAAATAAATAAATATAATCATTTTATTAGATCAAATGTAGACCGATTGCAATAAATGAAAAATAAGCGCATAAGACTCTTATGTAAGAGTTTATGAACGAAATTTGAATAAATAGTTTGATGTGTACGGAACAAGAAATTGTCTACATAATGAATATTTTGAAAAATAATTACTTTTTGGATAAATTGAAGTTAAATTAAAAGGTCTATGCATATATTTATTGGTCGTAGAAAGCCGGTTTAAATGATGTACAAGGGCTTGCCGTTATACTTGGTTAACAAAAACTAGGCACAAAAAGAAAATTGATTGGCAGCATCTATAGGTAGTAATTCATCCTTAGGAAAAAAAATTGGTTCTCATTATATTTGGGTGAGCTAAAAAATAACGGATTATAATCGGTTTTTACGCTGATTAATAAAACAATATTCATAAACTTGTGAAGATGAAGAAAAAAAATTGCTCTTTTTTTTGTTGAAATAAAGGAAGAAAACACTTTTGAAAGTAGAGTTTATTATTCAGATTGATAATCTCTATCCCATGTAAAAAAATAGGGGTGAAATCAAATTCAAATCGATTACTTTTTTGATTAAAAATTGATTATAATCGTACACCCTTTAGCCGATTATAATCGGAGAAACAGTTATTCCGCTGTAATAATCGATGCAACAGTTGTTTCCCAATACTACCGATTACAACAAATTTCAGTTGATTTGTATCTGTTTTTAATCAATCACAAATCAACTTACTGGTGATTCAATGTAGCTGTGATGGTTTGAGATCGACATCAGGCACATAATAACATCTCATCAATTACTTCCAGTAACGCTGATTTACAATGAGCAAGATTAGACTTATTTTTACTTTCCTGAAAGTACTTTCTCAAGAATTCATCAGTATTCTCTAAACTACATTTTTCAGAATTTTTACTTTCTCAACAACATATACTTTTACTTCCTTGTTTTCTACTAAACGAACTGGTGATACTCCTCTCCGAGAAACAGACAGAAATCATCGAAAACAATCGCTATCAAAATGAAAACAACTCTGAACATATTCCATTTGAATAAATGGAACAAAAAAAAACATGATATGATTTGAACAAAAAATTTATTCTTAATATTGGTTTTGAATCGAAAGGAAGAAAGAAAGAAAGAAAAAGCAGCTCAGATTTATATTAAAAGGAAATTCGTATTATAACCTGGGAATGTGGAGGTTTTGTGCAATCAATTATTTTTATGGGAAGTACTGTAAAGAGTGTTACAGTTTTTTCTTTGAAAGGGGTTGATGTTTCTGGTTATTGTGTATTATATCAGATTTTTTATGCGATTTTGGAGATACTTGAATTGTTGTTCTAGATTCACATCAGGTCATAAATGTTGAAATCGCGTTTTTCATGTGCAAAAAGAAATCGAGCTCAGCGCCTAAAGTTTTGCTTTGGTCTTACATGTATCGAGTCTAAATAGGTTGTTTCATCATTTTTTGAATAACACAGGTGATAGTGAATGATGTAGGATTGTCTGTGCATGCCGTTCATAGCCAAGCACTGAACTAATAATCTATCTTTCTAAATTTTCCAGATATCATATTTTTAAGATTTAAACGGTAATTTATTTTACATTGTTGAAATGAACAATCATTAAATTACTAGGATGACTTTAGCTTTAATTTTTATCACGCAACATAATCAGAAAAATCAGCTTTAATGCTTTTTTTCAAACGCTTTCTTAATAATTACGAAATATCGATAAAGAAGTGACTTCTGATCGTGGAAGTTTTCAAAAAAGTTTTTTTCTGTCTAGAATCAGTTTATTTCGACTTTCGTCAATTGTTCTATTGAAAAAATTGAATGATTCCTAATTAGGTTTTCAATTTAGTTCTTTTAACACGGATAAAACGAATCTTTGAACTTTGGTCGACAGTAAAATGTCGAAAAAACGAAAAAGCAAAAATATCGAAAACTGAGTAGGTGTTCATGAAAAATGTCGTGTTCAGAATTGATTCATTATTAAAAGAGGTTGTCCTTTATTCGAAGTAATGAAATTTAAATCACTGTTGATGTTGCGTGTCGATTCCGTGGCGGCTTCCATATGCATATTTATCACTCGAATAATGAATAATTGAAGAATAATTTTCTTATTCTTTTCTATTACATTGTACTAAGTGACCAATGTCTGATAGATCAATGATAGATCTAAACTAACATAAGTCGCCATCGATCCTACAAGTAGTGACGGACCCATAAAATCTGTTAGGGGGTGGCGCTCGTGACCAAAAAACGGTTTTTCAAGTCTAGTTGAGACAGGACGACTATTTTCTGTTTCATTTCTGCTGGAGAAAATCGAAAACGTTTCTTAAGGGGGTGGCGATGGCCGGGTAGCCTAACTGGTAGATCCGCCACTGCCTACAATAATAACATATTCATCGGATATCTTTTAAAACACTCCTTCTTTTAGATTTTTTAATTTTATTTCTATAAATTTCTTTCGACATTTTGTACGTTCGATATTTTTAACTGTCGACATTTTTACTTTCGACCAAAGTTGAGTTTACCAAACGAACTATCTCGATGATTATAATCGATTCGAGAGCTGAATCAACTTTCGTGGATTTTAATCGAGAAAAAAATGATAAAATACTGATGAAAATCGACTATTACTCAGAATCGATCCTAATTGATTAATAACAAATCATAATTGCTCGACTTTCATCAATTATTTGTGGTGCTAATCGATTATAATCAAGAATATGATGATTTTTCTCGTAAATTGTTTTACATGGGATGCAACCACGCATATTTCGTTCAAAAGCTTTTTTCTCTGAAATTTTGAATTTTCGACACGTTTTCTGTATTGGCTGGACTACTAGATATTTTATTCACGCAGCTCTATATATTATATTAACTACTTCTCGATTGTCTAAGCAACGTTCATGCTTTATGTATCCTTATGCGAGTTAAGTCATGATTTGATCGTACACTTTGATTTGTTTTTGCGAAGTATGCATACTAATTTCTTGGGACGTTTTTTGTGATCCTTACAAATGCCAGTGACAAGCTTTGTTGAGACTTTGATTCTATTGTGGAAATATGCAGTCTGAAGTAAGACCCCTATCGAAGCCAATACTGATGTTATCGTTATTAATACAAAGCAAAAAAAAGTTTGATAGTGCTCTGAACAGCATACCATTTCGTACTAAGCATGCGAAACTTTGATATAGATAATAAAGCCGTGAAGAATTAATTACAAAAACTGGGATATCTTCAGATCGTCTACGAATCCGCGAGCCACTTTACGGCACCTTCAAAGAGTTACGTCGCAAACTGCTAAACCTTATGAAATCTGTTGAATTTAAAAATGTTTGAAAGGGAACCACGAAAGGGTTTGTGCACCAAGAAACTTCAAATAGTTCGGTGCAGAAATGCGAAACTTCTAAGGTTCGGTAGAGTACCGATTTTGTTTTTCAAGTGATATCAACCCTGATGTACTACAAAATGAATTGAATGTCTTGCGACCAATGTTGAAAAATAAAGTATTATAGGATATCAAAGAATTATATTGTGAATGATCTGTATTCGCACAAGCTTTTCCAAATGCTATTTTAATGGTACAAGGTACAATGACAATACAGTTCAACATTGGTTTTGACAGCATCGTCGAAGATTTTTCTTCCAATCATATGAATAGAAGAATTATGTTGAAATAGTAAACTTGAACATTGCTTTTTTTTATTTGCTAACTAACCTTATATTCTTAAGAAAGAGTAGCCATACGAAACAATTAATTCAAAATTTGATAAATCCAAATTTTCATGTTTCCAAGATGGGTCAACAGTTTCTGAAAGGGTGAAACCCCTAGCCCAAAAATTTTGCTCCGCTACTGGTTGCATAAACCTTGATTACAACAGCAAACCCATGTGGTAACTCCACTCACAGTCATCCATGAACAACTATTAAAACTGCAAAGACCTGGTTGTGCAACGCCTCGAGTATAAATTCCATCGGGTGAACTTGTAGCGCTCATCTTCTGCAAAGAGATTCATTATTTCAAACTGATCTGATCGCAGACGCTATCAAAAAAAATAAACTTACAGCACACCAACCGGTGTTTGAAACCACTTGTGTAACATATGGACTGGCAGAAGTAAACGGTCGTGGACAAGTGCTACAATAGTAACAAGTTAGTGGAACATATGCATTGCATAGATCTTGATCACAACAGCAAACCCATGTAGTGACTCCACCCACATTCTTCCACGAACACCCATTAGAAGTGCAGAGACCTGGCTGAGCAACACCTCGAGTATAAATTCCATCAGGTGAACTCGTAGTGCTCATCATCTGTAAATAGAGTTATTAGTCGAATGTGCCAAGATCGATGATAATTAACAATGAAATAAACTTACAGCACACCAACCGGTGTTTGAAGGCACCTGTGTAACCCATGGGCTGGCAGAAGTGAACGGTCGTGGACAATTGGAACAATAATAGCAGTATCTGCTCACTCTTTCAGCAGATATTGGTGTCGCAATGTTGCATTCAGAGAAGCCTATAATAGACAGCTAGATGCAATCCTAAAGGTATTTCACTTTGTTTTGCAATGGATTCATACCGATATAAGTGGTAATCACAGACAGAATTATGAACACGGTATTCATTGTAAGAATTAGTTTATTTCAAATTGAAACCTACAGACAAAATACTAGTGAGATATGAAAGGATTGTTGGTGCCTTTTTATACGATATGATTATGACGTATTCGTCTTGCGCCATCAACACATATTGTGATTCACTAAATAACATTCTCAGTTGTTATCTATTCCTTGACGTAAAAAGTAAAGAAAATAAATGGCGTAATAATTATTGTAGGACCCTATGACTAGAAAAGTCCAAAAAAGTAGGAGTACAAATTCGTATCAAGTTTAGACAGATAGAGAACAGTAACAATTGCATAAAAGTATGCTTTGACTTGTATATTTACATGGTTTCTTATTTTTAACGTATATTTCATTCTCTATTCACGAAAATTACAGCTCTGAATAGAAACTAGCTTTACAGCAATTAATAATGATTCATAGTTTTATTTTAATCGGAACTTTTCCGTTCACATTCTAGATGAACTTGAAATGAACTGAATCATTGTTGTATGGTAAATGATGTTGATATTGAAATAGATTATGTTTGCTATAATTTGTTAGACTGAATCTAGCATATCCTTTCTTTTTTCCAATCTATTAGTATTATCATACGTTGGTAAATTTTAATTTCAAATCTATTTTGAAAATGTGTCTTGACTATTGCATCAATATTAAAAAGGCAGTATAATTAATCCATACACTTTAAATATTTCTTATTTTTTTGAAATACAAAATTAATCACAAGTGCAGATGTCAGTGATAGCAAGTAGAGGGCAAGATTTAGATTAAAAACTAGCTCCTTATGGGTTCGGCCAGATGGCTTGTCTCAAGAAAAGCGGATCGAATGATTTTCTCGATTTAATGGTAAATCAATAAATGTGCCGATATCTAATCTGTATGACATTGAATTTCTACTTGAGCAAATTAGTAAAATTTCATTAGGCTTCAATAGATCACTAAAATGATACACTGCTCGTCTCAAAATATGACGCAATGAACAAGCACTGTCAAAATAAAAAACTAGGGTGAGGGTCTTGATCTTCAGTTCCGAAACTCACAGTCACCCTTACCATTCAGCTTTTTTCTATAAGATGGTCTTATTTCTACGATGAAGGTGGCTATTGGCAAAAAAGTAATCTTCATTCACACCCACACCCTCCAGTTGCTGAGATATCGTTTTTATTTTTTGAATATGAATAATCAAAAATTGACTAATGAAAATAGATTGTTTTGGAATACAATTCGAACAAATAAATACTTTAATGTGTCGGGTTTGTGATTGCCTCCTTAAATGTTTATTAAATTGAATATTTCTCTTGTGTTCTTTATCTTTCCGTTATAGAAATTCGATTTTTTTTTCTTTTCTTTTCACAATTTCACGTGTTATAAATCAAATCTTTTTTTCTATAAATTTCACTTCGTAATATGTTAATATTTATTTTTTATTAAAATTTAATCTTATCTGTAAAGTAAAATCAATTTTAAATCCGTAATAAAGATTGTTTCATAGCTAGGGTGTGGGTGTGAATGAAGATAGTGCCGTTAGTCAAACTGTAAGACATTGAATCACACGTCGTACAAGCTTCGCCGACGTCCCATTTTGTAGAGAAATACTTGCTCTACAACAGAAACTATTGCACGACCTTTGCAAGTGCTTTGGCTTTTACGATAAACCATTTGTTGTACACGTATGAGCAAGAAAATCATTGTATACTGTCATCAAAACTATCTAGAATTTATAGAATATTTTTATCTGAAGGTCTTCTAAGCATCACTCATAATTCAATTTCTTCTAGTTTCGGCAATCCGCTGTGAAAACACTCTCTACTAATAATATATATACCGGCAAAGCCGTCAGTTTTATTTGGACATTTGTCTTTGGTCAAATTTGGAATTGATTGGTAGATAAGTCAGTCATTATTCATACCACGGCTACAAATGACCGGTTGCCCACATATAGTTACAGAATATTGTGTTGCCGATATCCGCACGACCATTTACGCTTAAATGTTTTGTGAGACCTAAATGCCAAACGGAAACAGCTCTGAATTTTCAAAACTAGCTAATGTTTAATTAAAGCGAATTTCATTAAAGAATTTAAGGAAATCAAACAAAAATATTCAAACAAAAGATGCAATTTGTGTTCTTTTTTCAATCAAACTATTAGCGAGAGTGAATTGTCTATGGGCATAAATATCCATCGTTAATAATTTCATGTCTGGACATACATTTACACTAGTTAGATAAGTTCTTGATGTCGATCTGAATTTCTTTTTTTGATTTCCTTTCGGCATTTTAATATTCATCTCTTCTCGTTTTTTTATTCGTTCTTCAACAAGATGCAAAACATAAGAAAATGCTTAATAAACGAAAAATGAAATTTTTTTTTTCTCAAAACGCTTCGACTGAACTTCATTCTATCGACAATAAAATAATGACGCATGGTACAGAACATCATGTGACTGATTCGTTGATCTGCCCTATAACTCAAGAGATATTCTCGGTTCCAGTCATTGCTGATGATGGTTATTCGTATGAAGAGTCAGCCATCGTTGCTTGGATTCAAGAAAACCATACAAGTCCTATGACAAGACAGCCTTTGTCGATTGGCAGCTTACGTCCCAATCGTGCAATTAAAAATTTAATAGAAGAATTCGAAAATTCATTACATTCTGCTGATTATCGTTTTAAGTTAGATGTTGATGTACGGAAAGAACGTAATGCAATATTTCAGGTAAACACAAAGTCTATATTTCGTGCTCATTGGATTACACGACGCAGTGCTCCACCTACAGTATTGTTGAAAATGAATGGTATCCGAGCAAAAAGAGAAGCATCCTTTTGCGTACAATTGAGTCGTCATCCACACATTATACGAACATATGGAACGGTGGAGCCAACACCTCAAGATACGATTATGTTACTTCAAGAATATGCACCCGAAGGAAGTCTTCATAACCTACTCGATGATGTGTCGAGAGTTCCAGATGAACTGATTCTAATTGAAATGTTTTCACAAATTGCAGATGCTATGACTTATCTTGCATACAATCGAGTGACTCATGGAGATCTAGCATGTAGAAATATACTAGTATTTCGTTTCGATAAGTACAATCCTGAAAATAATCTTGTGAAATTGACTGATTTTGGTCTCACACGACATAGTTCTATATATGTATCAGTTGATAATGGATCGGCGCCAAATGATTGTATTCCAATACGTTATGCGGCACCAGAGTTGATTCAAGACCAGACGTGTTCGGAAAAAACAGATATGTATTCGATGGGTGTAACTATGTGGGAAGCCTTTTCAAAAGCTAAAATACCATGGTATAACATTGAAACAGACAAAGAAATACGTCAACGCGTCACATCTGGTGATAAATTATCAAAACCGGTAACGTGCAGCGATGAAACATGGACTTTAATGTTGAACACAATGAACTTGAGTGCACAGGAACGGCCAACATTTTCCCAATTAAGACGTTTGTTAACAAAATTACAATACCAGCTCGAAAACACAGCTAGAAACCACGGTGAACTGATGGAGAAATTTCAAAAAGTGCTTCAAATTGAAAGAAATGAAGTTCTCATAGGCGTAGCTGTCGAACAAGCTTTGGTTAATTTAAGCGGTTTGAACATTGATCAAGCAGGTGCAACGTTTCGACGCAAGCCGAATAGTCATATTACAGTATTTCGCTTGAGAATTCCTAGTGATAATGATTTCAGCAATTTTATTCGCCACTACCGTAATCATTTTAAGACCTTGATAGTAGAATACGAGAGAGAGATGGGAACAGAATGGGTAACAGTAGACGTGAATACAAATATACTGTATAACCATATGGTGTCGATTATTTGTAACTAGTAATAAATGTTACCACTCAGATGACATCATAATGTAAGCTACGATTTTTAAACTATTTTTCTATCGATTATAGCTAAAATTATTAGTGTACACAGTCATACTATAGAATTTTAACAAAAGATTTTCGCTCATAGCTTAGAATTGCTTTTCAAACCAAATGTAAGCTTAATTACCCGATTACTACTATTAAATGGCATAAGATCTCTCCCGTGCATTTAAATTTGATTGAAAACGAGAAAAAAAATAGCTGATTTTCCGTACTTTATTCATATTTACCTACTTTTCAATAGGATTAAAGCACAATATCATGGTTGTGTGGGTATCCTATTGTTTAAAAACGAAATTCCTACCCGCACATCTTAACATCTATATCCTTCGAAATACTGTAGAAAAGCGTATTGTAATAATAAATTCAACTATTTGATTGCCTTAATCGTTTAGTAAAAAATATTTTTAAATTAAACAACACGACACTAAGACCATTTATGATTGGCAAAGACCGAGATTGGTGTGCTTTTACATTTCATTATACGTCTTCTCGTACGTGTATAAGCTTTGTGATCACCACGACTCCATCACGATGGTTTCTGTTCACGCGCATGCATAAAATAGAACAGAAATTATATTTACTCGTGATTATTTATTGGGCAGAAAGCGAAAAACAATGAACAATAACATTGAGTCTATTCGATTTCAAATTTTTGTATTCGATGATTGCCTTGATCGGCGACATATAAATTGCCCTGCCGATCGAAGGACAAACCGTAGGGATAAGTCAATTGATTTGACTGTGATCCTAAATCATTTCCACCAGCAATGACAGTGCCCTGTGTAGACCCTTTCGGCCAACGCATAATTCGATGATTGGATCGATCAGTCACGTAGATAGTACCCAAATTATCAACAACGATTCCTAGTGGACCATCTAGTTGCGTAAGATCACTTCCACATCCGTGACCGCCGGCTACGAGAATACCTTGTGTTGCACCTTCTTCCCATTTCATTACACGATGGTTCGAATTATCAGACACGTACACTGAATAATCTCGATCGACAAATACGTAATAAGGATCCGAGAGTTGATCGAGACGACTTCCCCGTCCATTGCCACCTGCAACTAAAGTTCCTTGACTTTCACCAATTGGATAACGTTTCACCTCATTATTATCATGATCAACAACATAGAGGCATCCGATGTCATCCATTGTCAAACCAACGCAGCTGATGTCTGAAATAATTGTTTCTCCACGGGTGCCGTTTTGACGAGGCCATCGGACTACTTGTTTATTCCTGTAATCAGAGATGATGAGACAATCTCGTTTTTCATCAACAATCACATCGTCTGGATGGTTTAAGTGATTAACTAGATTTCTCTTTCCGCCAGCAACAATTTTGCCATTTGTCGCACCTGATTTCCATTCCATTATACGATGATTCGATTCTTCAGCAATATAAACAGTTTGATCATCATCAACATACAAACCCCAAGGACAGTTCAGTTGATTGATTCCATTGCCTTCTCCATTTCCTCCGGCTACAGTTACGCTGGTTTGATTCCATTTTGCATTTTGATGAATTTCAATTGAGCTTGAGCGTAGTGGTACTAAAATGAATCCAAACTTATTCTAAGAAAAAAGAACAATCAGTCCGATTAAATTAGCGTTTTTTTCTCTTCATAACAACAAAAAAGCGAAATTTGTGAACCGACCATCTAATGTTTCTATTCACACTGTTAAATACTTACCAGGTGTAATTCTAAGTTGAATAACAGCAGAATTCAGTTGCTCAACTTATTTACTCTTTTCCCTATTTTGAGTGTTGACGACATTTTCAACAAGTAAAAGATACACTCACACTTTTGTGTGTAGCTTGCACTAGCTGGTTTAAACGAATAGGATCATTCTCCATGTGCTATTCTCATCGATCCAGAAATTTCTTCATACGTTAAAAAAATGTACACAACCAGCTCAGTTTCAATATATAACAAATGCACCAGAATAAATGTCTCTCTCAGTGTTTTTGCGAATACCTCTGTAAAATTTTGGTGTACATGCTTCATTTTTTTCGAAAGATGCCTTGTCTGATTCTCTACAAACCCGGATGAAAAGAGCTTTTCTAACGAATAAGTATGAAATTATATCCGGTGAATATTACAATTCTCTGAAATGGTTCCCTTTCAAAGGGTGTAGGTGTAAATGCTAGTGACATTCGTAATGAATACCGCCACCCCTATTGAATGATATGTATGATCAGCATTACCACCCGATGACACGCGATGCATTGCATTACGATGATGAAATGTTGGCGGTGCGCAAGTACCTTGAGTGCGATGACGATGGCTTGAATCGTCGTCTGAATCCATTACTAGCTCAGATGAAGAACGATTGGAGGGAGAAATCGACTATTGGCCACGCAAAGTTTATATTGAGAATGAATGAATAAATCAATCAATATATAAAGGCAAAGCTACTTTTAAAACGTACATCTTGGATTTTTGCCTTACACAGCCAACAGTAGACCTTCATCCATTAATAATCATGAATCACTTTAATAAAAAAAAACTTCTAACCAATTTAGAAAAAAAATGCTGAAAATAGTTTTTAAAATAATATGTAAATAAATTCATGCTCAAATAGATGTCGTACGGTGAATCAGAGCTATGACATTCGATTAGAACCACACCCTCACTCTAGAATGCAGAGTTTACTAGGAAAATAAAAATCGTTCGAACGATCCTTATATATGGATCTCTGTACATAGTGGAGACGGACATCCCGTTCTGTAGCTTTAATTACGCGCTCTACGAGATAAAACACGGACGGAGTACCTCTTTACAACGCTCGGTCGCAACTTTATTTGAATGACCATTGAAGCATATCTGTTGAGAATATTTTAATCTTTGTGAGTATTACAACTGAAGAAAAGTGAAACACATACAATGACCTTTATTCTAAGAATATTTCGAAATCATAAAGCCTACACCTAACATCTTTCAATATCCACCACCGTTATTTTATTAGGTTGGCTCAGTGAAATCATAATTCGTTCGATTTTCACCCAAATTCGCCAACGTTTCACTTGGCAGCGTAAAAGGAAACACCGCATAAATATTGTTTTTATTGTAGACGCTGCTCAAATGCCGTGAGATTAACTTGCTTCCTATGAGAGTACCATAGTCAATTGTATCAATAGGTTGACTATCTTCCATGCCGAAAGTAGTCAGATTAAAATACGTTTCCTCTTTGGAATGAAATCGATCACCTCGAACGAGCGCTGTTGCATCAGACAAAATTGCTAATGAAGTTGTATAGCCTGGACAGAATCCACTTCCGTCAACAGCAGGTTTCTTTCGTTCACAGAGAAGACCAGGATACAATTCCACATCATCAATCGTTTTATAGAGTTTAGCCAATTGTTCAATCAATTCTGGATTCAAATCTTTGAACGATTTATATTCTAGTAGATGAAGAAATTTTCGATATTCATTTAAAGTACAGACACCCATGCTTCGCGCATGCAAAATACCACTTATTTCAATATTCCGAAACAAAACAGGAGTATTCTGACCACCGAAAGCACCCGAAACATTCTTACAACCATCAATAAGTGCTCTTGCAAGATCTTTATCTTCGAAACGTCCATCTTCACGACGAACGAGTTGAGAATTCTGCTTTTGATCTTCACTTAACTCTCCTAATTTTTTAAACATCGTTTTCATATCCATATTTTTCCAATCGCCAAGAAGCTTTGAAAGTTTATGTTCAAGCCATATTTCATCCTCGACACTAGTTGCATGATGCCATCGATACAAAAAATTGAATTCAATTGAACATTGATTTCCGGTTGCCATTGGTAGATCATTGCCACTGCCAATAGTTGAAAAATCTTGTCGAACATCCAAACTCCATGAATTTTCTACTCGATTGATTCCAAATATGACTCGTAAATAATCATGTATAATAATATTGAGATAAGTTCGTTCATTAATCAATCGTGCAGTTTGAAAGAGTGCTTCATCGCGTTGCTGATCTTTGAGAGAACTGAATCGATTATTTTCGTCAATCTTGAGAAGATGTTCTGCAAGATAATTGTGATTTCGACTAAAGAGAACAAGCAAAACTGTGACACCAGCAGGTTGAAGCCAAAATCGAGTATCCGCGAACTGATCTGGTTTGAGAAGGCCGTTCGTACCGGTTCGAATAGAATCTTGCATTGCTTTTGTCCAACCGTAGAGTGGACTCAAATCCAAATAGCTCGTTGTTGCATTGATACTTTTGTCGATTGGATCTGTATTAAATATGTCATGCGTGATAAGTGTTGCGAAATAGATAAAATTGCTTGAGATGAGGGATTCACTTTTTTTGAATAGACCATCTTTGTCGGGACATCGTCTCAAGAGTTCGTCAAAAATTAGTCCTGGATCTGGAAGATCATTCGTTTGTGATCGTTTCGACCGATAATTCTGGACGTATTTTTGTCCGGATTTTCCAATGTCAGGAAATGCTAAATTATTGCCAGACCCATCAGCTGATCTCCATTGATAACCGACTTGGGTGAGGAAATTAGCAGGTGGATGCGAGAGTTGCTCCCATAAGCTACTAATGAAAATTTTACTCATGATAGCACTAAACTCATTGTTTTTCGGCAAAGTATAAAGTATAACAATGATCTTTTCCATTTCTAAAAGATTATCATCGATTGGATTTCCGAGAATAATATTTGTCGTATATTCGCATAAAGTAAGAGCGTCTGGTATAACATTGAATTTGAGCGCGTTTAAATCGGCAATTATACTGTGTTCGCCATTTTTAAATTTGTGAAGTTCGGATTTAATAATATTGATGAATGCTAAGAGCTGGGATGAATGTTCGCTCCGATAGTGCTTTATGGTTGTTTTTTCTTGTGCTTTTTCATCAGACTCGAAGAATTGTTTAACGGATTGTATCCAATTTTGTAGAGGCATTTCAAAAACAGCTCGAATAATAACGACTCTATGCAACCTTTAAAAAAAAGCAAGTGCGTATTCAAATATAGAAATCAATTTATTGCTTTCATAGTTATAAGAGAACAGAAGGCGTCGCACTGAAAGAAAATCGATAGGAACAGATGTAAATAATGGAAGACAAACCGTAATCATGTATGTGAGAGAAAACTTGGTGAGACAAACAAAACACATCGAAATTTTGACGATATTATTTTCATTCAAGATCTGAACCGACTAAATTGTTAGAGATTACAGTATTAATTCATAAACTGAGTTTCCTGGAAATAGAATCTAGATGAGCTCTCAATTATTATACTCTCGTTCTTTTCTTGTTCCAATGACTTAATCATTCAATTTTTTTCTATAATATCTTGGAGCAAAATTCAATGAATTGTTAGAAAATGATAACAATATTGTTCGATCGGCTGACAGAAAGATCATATGGAATAAAATTAGTTTGCTTGCTTGCACGTGGCAAGCCACGTGTTCAAATGTGTCTTCAAAGTTTATAAAATTTGACTAAAGTTAATCGGGATTCTGAAACTCAATTTTGTTTTGCTTTATCTGAGATATGTCTTTTGTTTTTCTGTGAGAATGATTTCTTATAGATTGTCAACAATCATTCGGTAATCAAATGAATTTCGTTTAGTAATGGAGCTCATAAAAATTAATTTCAGATTTTTCGAGATGCTTGGTACTTACTTTATGGGACTTATCAATATCCACTGTTGGCAATGATCTCTTTAGTCCGGAAGTTCTCAACCGTTACCATCAAGGAGTAATATTCAAAAAATGAATATAAAATGAAAGTAGGAGTTTTGGCATTGTTTAATAAATAATATTCTCTTCTAAGTGAACGATCTCGAGAATGAAATAGAGAAAATTCTAGAGAAATCTATTATTCAATATTTTGTTTGCTAATTCTATTCGGCGCTCTGATGAACACGATTTTATCCATTGTGCACATAATTATCGTACTGCAATTTGTCTTATATTAAGATTCAAATACTTTCCAATCACATATAGACTGATAAAAATTCGATTTATGTCTACCTCGTGTACTCTCTATTTCTGTTGGTTTAATCATTTTTAGTGAAATCACATAGATGATTTATTTAGTATAGTTTTCTTTGTTTCTTGTTCTTTTCCTTTCGAGCTTGTGTTTAGATAAGTCATTATAAATGAATAGAAAACTTCGTTGCGGTCGTTTAATTCGAACAACTGATGGTATATTAAAAGAAGTTGAACTTAAACATGGTGGCGGCTCTCGTTTTTGCCCTTGGAATGATAAAGATATGGATTTTCAGACTGTTCATGGAATAGCTCTCAATCGGTTCGAATTGAGTAAAATAACAAAAATAATCCGAAATTATTTTATATCTTTTTTTCCGGACATTATAGATGATCGTAAATATAAAACACAATTGTACGATTTTAACCAACGTGTATTAGATATTAATGCATATGAAAATTTTTCTCAATATATCGAACGATTTGGTTTAAATACCAATAGCACAATACTATATTTATGTACTATTGAAAGTTTAGGTTTGTTTCGTCCTATTCTACTCAATTTTATCGATTTGTTTTTGATTTTTAAAGCTCATAAAAATGAACCACCAACAAAAACCAAAGACACAATGGTAACAACAATAACATCATCTGAACCTCATAAAACAGATGCAAACCAACAGCAAACACATAAGTACGAAATTTATTTTAATTTCTAAATAAAAATCGAATCACACGTTATTTTGCTTTTAGAAGTTCACTTAGTAATTAATCGGTATCAATTAATCTATCTTTATGATATAATTTTATATTTAGAATTTGAATTTAAAAGATCTATCAATAATTTAATAAAACACATTAACAGTTTAATGGAACAAAAAGGTCACGATCAAATATTAATAGAATTATTACAAAATATTTGTATAATAAAAGGTTACATTTGGTCAACAATTGATAAATTACAAAAACAATTACGACGATCACATGAATTTATTCAATTAATGCAGAAACATGACATTTTACTATATACAAATAATGTAAAGAATGCTTGTGACAAATGTCAATCGATACAAGAATTACTTACATCGAACAAAAATAAATTTAATCGTATTCATATATTTTCACCGATTATGAACTTATTTCCCGGCATTTTACGTAACTTAAAAGTATTTAAAAATAATTGCTTCAGTGGAATATCAATTATTTGAAAATTCCTTCTTAGATTCTACGTGACATATGGTTACAAAGCGTTGAACATAATAAAAACAAGTTCAGTAGATCTTCAATTACAAAAAAAAGTCAATAGAACGAGCTCAAGCATTGTCACCACCATTACAACAAACGAAAGAAAATTTTGATTTATTTAAAAATGTATGTTAAATATAATTATAGATTTATTTTATCATATACTTTTATTTAGATTTCAACATGTTTAAATGATTTAGTAGACTTACTCAATTCTCGCGGTTCAACGATACTTCGAGAATCGATTCTTTCAGCGATTGTTGGTATTAAATATAAATCTATATGATGAACAATCATTGAATGATGTTAAACGAAAAATCGTATCAATTGAAAATAAAATTAGTCAAATACTTGATGAACAAGGTGTTAATAATTTTAACATTGAATTAAATCAACAAATTGAGGGATCATGCAGAAAAGCATTTAGAACAATTGAATTTCTATTAGTTATTCCTAATCGTTATCAAATGCAAGCACAGCAAACCAATCGATATAAATATTCGCGTTGGTCATCGCCTCCTCGTTTATTCAATGAAACTAGGCAATCGATACCACCTAAAAAACAAAAATGATCCAATCTTTATTACAGTAATGACCAATATCTAATTTTTTTAATTAGATACAGCTATTTCTGTTTCTACAAAATATTTATTTTGTTACTTGTGATTCTTTGTTAATATGAAAATGAAGCAAATGATAAAAACTTCTTTGAAACATTTAATGATTTATTTTTATGATCGAGTCAGCATTGCTGATTTTCTAGCGTTCTTGTTAACAAGAAATATAAAACGAATATTTTTGTGTAAATATTTGGTATATTATAACATAAGTCTGTACGGATATGTGCTTTATAATCGGGTATTCACTATTTCGTTACCATCGAAGTTTGTGCGAGAAAAAAAGGAAGCATAATCAATTTTGACTATTCGCTATTGTATTTAAATAATCTCTTGCTATTATTCAATTAATTACTGATATATTATTAGTTGCTTGTGTAGCTTCTTCTGTCAAATTAAAAAAACTATACCTATTAGTTGTAATTAATGAAATAAAAAAATGCAAAGCTTCATCGATATAAACTTATTTTGTTGGGTCTTCTATAATTTGAAGCAATACTAAAAACATAACGTTATTTTCGTGATTTTAAAACAATGAAAAAAGGATGTGTGTGGATCTGGCTTCGCAGCAGTCCTATATATCCTGTATTTCCTATATTTTAAAAATTTATCCTATAATAGACTATATTTTGAGCTTTTTTCCTATATTCCTATTTTTTTTTTGAAAAAATTGAAGAT